TAAACCAAAGAACTTATATGTATATATGCATAACCAATGGACACAGAAAACAGTGTGGGGAAAGGCAGGAGAGGGGCAGGAGTGGGGAGAAGGTGATCAATAAGAGAAAAAGGAGGAACATCTGTAATATATTCAACAATAAAGATAGGTTAAATAAATAAATAAATAAATAAAATGGTATAGCTTTTCTTTTACTTAGGCCTTATTTTATACCTTTCTATGAAGTTTTATAATTCATCTCATAAAGATCTTGCATATCTTTTTGATGCATTTCTAAATATTTTATAATTTTGTGAATATTATAAATGGTATCTTTTAAAAAAATCATATGATACTTATTTTTCCTACTATATCAAGACTCAGTTGATTTTTTTATATTGCTAATGTATTCAGAACTACATGAATTCTCTTATTTACTAGTTATAATTCAAATTCACTTACATTTCCTCTGTGGACAGTCCTATTATTGGCATATAATGAAAATTTAGTTTCTTCCTTTCCCACCTCTATACCTTCTCTATTTCTTGTTTTGCTGTGCTAGCAAAGACCCTATAGAATATTTACAACAAAGTGGATGATAACTAGTATCCTTGCTTTATTCATCTAATTTTTCAGCATTAAGTTTACTGTGTCCTGTAGAGTTTTGATAGATAACCCTTTTTAGGTTCAGGAATTTATATTCTGTTGCTGATGTGCTAATTTTTATCATGTATGAACACTGAATTTTGTTGAGGGACACTTTTCTGACTATAAAATGATCATACCATTTTTTAAATTCGATAATATGTCGGTAGATTATCTAATGTTAAACCATTCTGATGTTGCTGGGATTAACCCATCTTGTTCATAGAATTATTTTCTAAAGGCATTGCTAGATTCATTTGCTAATAATTCATTTGTTAATAATTCATTTGCTAATACTTCATTTATTTATTATTTTTGTCTCTATGTTCATAAGTGAGAATGGATCTTAATTTTCCTTTCTCATAATGTTCTTTTCCAGCTTTGGTTCTAAATTTACACTATTCATATACAAAAAATTGGGGTATGTTTCCCCTTTTTGTATTCTCTGTATAATATTAGGACTAGCTGTACTTTGAACGTCTAGTAGAACTCTCCTGTAAAGCCACACTCATCATGTTGGGTTGGGATGATAGGTTTCAGGCTACTGATTAAAAGTTTTTAAGGTTCTTCTCTGGTCAGGTGTCCCAGCTGGTCGGAGCACTGTCCCATGCACCGAAGGGTCGTGGGTTTGATTCACAGTCAGGGCACATACCCAGGTTTTGGGTTCAATCCCCGGATGGGTCCCATGCTGAAACAATGGATCGATGTTTTTCTCTTTCCCTCTCCCTTCCTTTCTCTCTAGAATCAATGAAAAACATATTCTCGGGTGAGGATGAAATAAATAATAAATAAATGTCTTTATGGTTCTAAGTTGATTCAGATTTTTGGCTATATTTTGAATTCGTTTTTGTAGATTATATTTCCCAGGAAGTTGTTTATTCAATCTAAATTGAAAAATGAAAGTATAAAATTGTATCTGAAATTATAGTCCCCTTTTCATTTCTAATATCAACTGTGCCTTCTCTCCTTTTCTTTGATTGGTCTTGCCAGTGGACTTTGCAAAGAACCTGCTCTTGGTTTAGTTGATCCTCTCAATGAATTTATATAATTTTTTAAATGTATTTAAAAGAATTTTTTTTTCTTTATTGATTTTTAGAGAGAGAGAGGTAGAAACATCAATGAGAGAAAACATTGATTGGCTGCCTCCTACATGCCCCCAACTGGGGATCAGGCCCATAACCTGGGCATGTGTCCTGACCAGGAATCGAACAGGTGACCTCTTGGTGCATGGGTCGACATTCAACCACTAAGCCACACTGGCCAGGCTAAAATTTATTCCCTTATCTTGAATATTTTCTTTCTTCTATTTCATTGGGTTTACCTTGTTTCTGAAGTAAAATGCTTACTTCATTAATTTTTTTTTTGTCTTTCTGCTTTTCCTATATAAACATTTAAGGCTATATATTTTTCTCTAAGAATTAATTTCGATGCTCCTCAGATTTCTAAAATTAATTCTTGAGATATAATTTGTATTCCATCAAGAAATATACCCTTGTATTGTGTATAACTCATTATTTTTAGTATATTCACAAAATTGTACAACTATCTTCACTATCTAATTCCAGAACCTTTTAGTTATCCCAAAAAGAAACCCTATACCCATTAGCAGTCACTCCCTATTCTTGTCTTACACCCGCCACTGACAACCACTAATCAGCCTTTTAACTCTATAGATTGCATTAAAATGAAATCATACAATATGCTGTCTTTTATGTCTCTGCTTTTTTCACTTACCATGATGTTTTCAAAGTTCACCTCTGTGATAGCATGTAGCAGTACTTCACGATGCTATTATGGCTGGGTAATATTCAATTGTATGGATACATCATATTTTGCTTATCCATTAATCAGCTGACATATTTTTTATTGTTTTCCACTTTTGAGCTCTTATGAATAATGCTGCTATGAATATTGGTAGACAAGTTTTGGTGTGGAAATATGTTTCTTTCTCTTGGGTATATACCTAGGAAATGGAACTGCCCGGTCATATGACAACTGTTACGTTTTTGAGAATCGCCAAACTGCTTCCCAGAGCAGCTGTGCCATTTTACATCTCCATCACCGTCATCTGAGAATTAAAATGTCTTCATATCCTCAGCAGGACTTAGTCAGCATTTTGACTGGAGCCATGCTTGTGGCTGTGGAGTGGTTTCATTACAGCTTTGATTTCTATTTCTCACGACTGATGACGCTGAGCGTCTTTTCCTGTGTTTATTGGCCAACCGTGTGTCTTCCTTGGAGCAATGTCTATTCCAGTCCTTTCCCCATTTTCAAATTGAGTTATTTGGAGTTTTTAAGTTGCTGAGTTGTAAAAGTTCTTTATATATTCTAGATACTAAAGGCTTATATGATTTGCAAACATGTTCTCCCAATATGTGGGAGACTTTTTCGATAGTGTTCTTGGAGGCACAAAGGTTTCAATTTTGATGAAGTCACATTTAAGTTTCTCCTTTGGTTGTTCATGCTTTAGATGTTATATTGCCTAATCCAAGGTCATCTCCCCACATGTTTCTAAGTATGTATTATATTATTATTCTGTTCCAAATACTCTCTTTTTGTCATTATTTCATATTTGATCCTTGAGACAATTAGATGTTTTATTTTTCCAATTTCAACTCTCTTCTTTTCAGAAGACTAAGATCTCAATTCCGGTCCCTCCCTTGCGCATTAAAACCGAAGCTTCCACATTACAAAAACGAACACTCTATCCCTGCCCCTCCACATCCTGCAGCTTCAGCATGAGCTCCCCACTAACTACAGCAGGTCCTCCAAAAGCTCCACTGTTTCACTATAACATTGATGAGATGCTGCAGGAACCTAACTCTTCTTTGTATCAATTAGCCCGTGGTAAAACCGCCTTTGCATAGACCTCATTTCGCTTCAAGTCCCAGAACCGATCAACAACATTAAGTGAAAACTTACCTTACGTTGCGTTCTTTGTTTCTGATCCCTGGAAACCTCTCTTACTTTCTTACAAACTCAAGGATGTGTTTAAGTGCTTCAGGCATTCATCAGGGAGGGCTTTCCCATTACTCAGTCCCCAGCACTCTTTGAGGGCCTCTGCTCGCCTCTGACAGCTTCTTATCCCTCGTGCAGCCTCTCCTATTGCTGTTCCCGATGGCTGCACTCTGCACCCTGTGGACGAGGCTGTACGTGATGTTCGTTTAAGCCACAGCTCACCTGTATGGAAACAATGAAGAAGTGTAGATAGAGGACAGGGTTGTGGGGAGGAGGGATATATACTTACTGTGATTTTCCTGAGGTCTTGCCAAGCCTTCACCCCACAACCTTCCCACTAGAATGGAAGCTGGAACCATATAGTGTAAGGTCAGCGTCCACAAATCCAAGGATGTTCCCTAGCAGCTTCTTTCTTTCAGTTGGTCTCTCTGGAAGTCCTGTGCCTATGCAGGGTCCCGGGACTAACACGTATTAGATTCCAGATGGAAATGGTAATAGGACGATTAGGACAGAAATGAGCGCTGGAAGGATATATTATTCAGGCTCTGAGACTCACACTCAGTTTATCTTAAATAATGTAAGGATAAAACAGAAAGTAAAGAATATGACGAATATCAGTGTTGGGGACTAGAATTGTAATCAAGATACAAAGCAGGTCTGAGGACCAGGTTATCTGGTCACTTCCTCAGCAGTGGGTAACTATTGCCGCCTTCCCTGTTGCTCCACCACTATGGCCCTTCAGCTATTCTGTTTCTACTGCTTTGCTGCTGTTTTTTTATATTCTTTCTCGCCAGGACCTCTGTTTAATTCTTCTTTTTATGTTTTTGGCTTCTGCCTGACCATCCGTCCTATGCCACCCACTCTCAAAGACCAAGATTTCTGTCACCGAGTCTCACATTCAAAATCTCTAAGAGGAAGTGTGCCTGGTGTGGTGCATCCTTGTTATCAGTCAGTCAGAGCCATGTGCCCAGCCATCCCTAGGCTCCCAGACAGACACAACTGGGGGCCAGGTGCCATTCTGTGATCCAATGGGGTCTGGTCCGAGTGATGAAGTCACAGTTAGCTTTCTTCCAAATGGGCTGTGCATGTGGCAAGGGCTCAGAGCAAAGGGAGTTCTGTTACAAAGGAGGTCAGAATGCTCCTTCCATCAGGAAGCACACAGGGACAGACCTGGGTAATAATCCTGCCTCAGCCATTCCTACCTGCATGACCCTGGGCAAGTCACCATTCTCCTCGTGCCTGGCTTTCTCATCAGTGAGAGGGGGGTGGGAACGCTTACCTCTGAAGGCTACCAGAAAAGGAAATGAAGTAATGTATGTGACATGCTTAGCGCAGTGTCCGGCACGTAGCCGGCACTCACCGAAACAGACTATATTAATGGGCTTTCTCTCTGCACTCTTCCTATGTCTCCCACCCAGCATCGTGATGACCACCTGTTCCACCTTCATTGCCCTGGGCATGATGCCCCTCCTCCTGTATATTTACTCCCGGGGGATCTATGATGGGGACCTGAAGGACAAGGTGCCCTATGGAGGCATTGTGTTATCACTGATCCTGATTCTCATTCCTTGCACCATAGGCATCTTCCTCAACAGTAAACGGCCACAATATGTACGCTATGTCATCAAGGTAAGAACCTGGGGGCCTGGGCAGGGAGCAAGAACACCCATCTCACCTCACTGGATGGCTTGAGGCAAGTCATTTGGGCTTTTTCATTGGTTATATCCTTTGTGTGTTTGTTGTTGTTTTGAAAAAGGTCTACTGTTGGGACACCTACTTCATGGGATTGTAATGTCCCTGGGAATACTTTCAAAAAGTTAGGAGGAATAAAGGAAAACACCATACACAACTATAAGGTATAATCATTATTTTAATAATAAAATTACATTTTATTATGTACCTACTAGATGCTAATTTTTATCCTAATCTGAGGTTTCACTGTCCTTGAAGAGTTTATTTGCAGGAAGTGAAGTAGCACATGAGAAACGAGACCGAACACAGTGGACCATCGAGCTCTGGCAGAAGCAAGGTGGTGAGGTTAGTGAGGGCCAGGTAGTCTAGGAAGGCCTCCTGGAGGGGACAATCTTGAGCCAGACCATGAAGAAAGGATAGGATTTGGATAAGCCTGGGGACAAGCCTGAACAGAGGAGTTCAGAGTGGGACCAAGGGCAACTGACTGACTGGCCAAGAAGCCAGAGGGGTCGAGTGCAGAGGTAGAGCCACTGCCTTGCCCTTGGATGAATCCCAGACTCTTGGAAGGCAGCCATGGTCCCTCTGCCAACTTCTGTGACCTTAGAGCTCAGTCCCTGTCAGTCCCCACTCTGCCTCACTGTTCGTTACTTGTCCTTGGGAAGGATATTCTGAGGGCCTCTTTCTGTCCTGCCCCTGGATCTATGCCCTTGGGCCAGTCTATACAGAGCACGCTACCTGGAAGCCAAGGCTTGGCAGCAGCTTGGGTCCTGAGACAAAAAAGCTGCAATTTAGGTTTGCAGGGTTATTTGATTCTACACTACCATGGTCAAGGGTAGTTTTTGCCGTTGTCCTGGCACAGTCCCAATACTGTGACCGCTGCTCCCTTCCCCACCTGTTGAAAGACAAGGGCATCATCCCTCCTCTTGTCTGTGCTGATCAACCCCCTCCGCTCGGGGCTACATCTTCCATTCCCTCCACCCCTGCTTCTCAGAGCTCTCCTTATTGATCGTGGCCCTACCCCTCCGTGTCCCCCATCTCGTTCCCATTTCCAGACCATCTCTGCATTAGTTCTTCACAATCAGCACTGATACAGGCTCACATCTCTCCTGCCTTTAAAAACAAAACAAAACCATCCCTCACCTCCCATTCCGGCCAACGCTTCTCTTTCCTCCCCTCCCCGCTCGTAGCCATACTTTGGGAAACACTCTCCCCCAAGCACCACCTCTCACATCTTCCGCTCCCACCACACATCCACCAGAGCTGCTCCCGCGGGTGACCAGGCCCTCCACAATCAGTCTCAGTTATGTGACTCCCTCTCTTCTCTCCTCCTCAGTCTCCCACCTACTCAGCATCTTCATGACCACTTGACCCACTTTCTTCAAGTCCAGCAGGTATTGCTCAGTTCCTTGACCGTTGGGCAGCTTTTCGTTCGGTGGCCCACTGGCTCCTTCTCCGATGCCTTCTCCCCCAGCCTCGGGGACTGGGTGCTCCTGCCTTCCTACCACCTCTCTGGCGTTTCTTTTCAGACTTCCCCGAGAGTTCCTTCTCTGTATTCGGCTCAAGCTTTCTGCTTTTCTTTGCGGGAACCGAACCCGGGTCTCTCTGTACTGCAGGCCGATGCTCCAACCACTGAGCCAAACCGGCCATGGCAAGCTTTCTGCTTTTCTTGCCAGGCTTCCCTAAGCCCGGGATCTTCCCACCACGAGATCTGGCTCATCTCAGCAAACAGGCACAAGCTGAGCTGGCTTCCAGAACAGCGTCTTCCGCCTTCAACTCTCTCCTGACTCCAGAATCCATGTGTTAACTGCCACATCTTTCTGCATGCACATGCTTTTAAAACTCAGCATGTCTTAAATTAAAATCATCTCCTCCCCAAACCTGCCCCCCCTCCCCGTGATTACCTCAGTGAATGGCATTCAACACGCCCACTGCCTGAGCCAGAAACTGGAACGTGACTCTCCATGTCCCCTCTCCTTCCCCACTCATGCTAATTAGTGATTCTCAATTCTACCTGCTTTTCCTTGAATCCATCCATTCCTCCCCATCCTGTGTCTACTGTCTTTCTTCAGGCCACTATGCTCTCTCACTGGACAAGTGAAATCATCTTCCAACCTGGCTCCTGACCCAGTCTTAACCTGAGGATGGAAAGTACAAACTCCACCATGTCACTCCACTGCTTGAAGCCCCTCATTGTTCCTTAATGTGACTTCTAAGGCCTTTCTTAACTGACCTCTCCAGTCTCAGCTCTTCCCTGCACACACGCCCTTCCCTCCACTGGAACACGCCCCTCTCCAAGTCCCCTCACCCCACTTTCCACTGGGCTCACCCCTACTTGCCTTTCTCCTCTCAACACAAACGGCATCTCCCCGGGAAGCTTTCCTCCGCTCACAAGCCCGGATAGGATGCTGGTCCTATTGAGTCCCGTGGCTCCCCGCACCGGCCCCTTGGAGCATCTATCATACTGTCTTAAAATAGCTGTTTGTTTCCCCACTCACCTGACGTTCCTCACGAAGAAAGCTCCTAAGGCTGGGTCTTACCACTGAGTCCCAGCACCTGTCCCAGCACCCCACAGCCAATGGCTGAGAATAAATACAGGGAAAAGGGCAGGTTTTGTCTCTTCCACATTAGCAGGGGAGAAAAAATCCAGAAACATGTTTGTGTCCATCATTTTATTTATTCAAGATAACTTGTGGGGGTACAGAAATAAAGGGGGGAAATCACAGAATATAAAAATGTGAAGGGACCTCCTTGGTACAATTTAATGCAACCCTCCCCTCCCCCATTTTATAGAAGAGAAAACCAAATAAGTATAACCCCAAGTGCAATTGATGTATGACATGTGCTTCCTTTTTTACCTCAGAATAACTTTTAAAATGTTCTGAGGGTGCAAAAAAAAAAATCTCAGATCTTAAAGCTGGGAAGTCCTTCAGGCTGAAGCTCAGTCTCCTACTTATTCCCATTTTACAGGTAGAATAACTGAGGCCCAGGGAAGTTGCTTGGCAGGGCCAAGGTTATCAATCAGTTTCCTGTTTCTGTTGCGGGCTGCACAACCACAGCCCTATTCCACAGTAAACACGGAGTCAGACTAACCCCAGAGCACATTAAAAGGGCTACGATTCACCTGGGCTAGGACGACAGGGACCAGTAACAAAGAACCTCATAAAAGGTGACCCACAAAGCACAGGTGTCCATTAGACCCAACATACTGTGGCTAAACCTCCTGGTTAAACGACTCCATTTACCCAATACTCCCAAACAGAAATCGGCCCTGTGAGGATGCAGAGACAAAGGTGCGGCCACGAGGCAAAGGCCGAGGTATCTTTGCTGTCACGGCTCTTTGAGGGCTATGGTCATCCTTCATCTCCCTGATGAAGTGACACGCTGAAAAATGAGCCAACGATCACCCCAGCCACTGTGCACACTTAACCCTCCTGGAGATTTCCAAATCAAACTACCACCTCCTGTCAACTGGCTCCGGCAGGTGTCTGCTCAGACTCTGCCCGGGTCACAGTCAGACGTGCCAAGATGCGAGTTCAGGGATGCCATTTGGAAAGGCAATTCGAGTCGCACTTAGCCTCCCCATGCGAGGGGTTCTTCGGGGCTATGTGGTTAGAGGGTGGATGAACCCGAGCACAACCCAGCCCGGAGCCATTTGTACCCTAAGCCAACCCCCTCTTTACCACGGGGCCAGCCGTCACACCGACTCACCCACTCTACCGGAGCCTTCCCCACACCTGTTGCTCCTGATGAACTGACCCGACTCCTTTGTCACGCAGCTTCTGCCAACTTGTGGCTTCTGCTTCTCCCAGGCCTCTGTGTCTTTTTTTTTTTTAATCCTCACCCGAGGATACTTTTCCATTTATCATCAGATAGAGAGGAAGGGGGGGGAGAGAGAGAGAGAGAGAGAGAGAGAGAGAGAGAAACATCGATGCAAGAGAGACACATCGACTGGTCGCCTCCCGCACAACCTGACCAGGGCCCGGGACAAACTGCAACCGAGGTACATGCCTTTGACTGGAATCGAACCCGCGACTCATTGGTCCACAGGTCAACGCTCTAACCACTGAGCCAAACCGGCCAGGGCTGGCCTCTGTGTCTTTTAACACTTGCGTTTGTCCCTGCTTCCCTGTAATACTGAAATCTCCCAAATGAGAGGATGCGACTAGCTGGGTCATCACCAACCTGTGCAGGCCACCTTTGTGGGAGTAGTTTGCGCCAGGTCATCTCCTGGGTCAAGATCATGAAACTGGCTTCCCGTGCATGGACACTCATCACAGTTACGATCATCTATGAAGTCAAGTGGCACAAGAAAGCATAGTGACCTAGGGAGAAGCAGGAGATTGTGGAGAAGACTCCCACATATGGCAGGACTGTGTGACAGGAAGCTTCAGGATGTCAGTGTCCTCTCCTCACAGGAGCTACAGTTCAGTGAGTGCTTTTTATATGGCTGGTCCTGCGCAGTCAACCTCACTTAGAGAGGCCGAGGGGCTCACTGAAGTGTGCGCATCGTGAGACTGGCTAAGACAGCTTTCACACCAGGGTCACAGCAATGTCTGTGCCTGTAACCACGCCACAGCCCTGAGTGGGAGACCGGGGGTGAGGGCATGAGAGCGCCCACAAGAGCAAAAGGGCTTCTGAACTCATGCGCAACCCCTGTAGCCCTGTGCCCCCTACATTATCCAGCTCACTCTTTTTTTTTATCCTCACCCGAGGATATTTTTCCATTTTTTGTACAGATAGAGTGGGAGGGAGAGAGAGGAAGGGAGAGTGAGAAACATCGACGTGAAGGGACACATCGAGTGGCTGCCACCCGCACGACCAACCAGGGCCGGGACAAACTGCAACCGAAGTACGTGCCCTTAGCGGGAACCGAACCTGGGTCTCTCCAGACCGCAGTCGGACGCTCTAACCGCTGAGCCAAACTGGCCAGGGCCCAGCTCACTCTCTTGATGGGGTCAAAAACTATTTGGTCATTCAGTAGAAGACAACAAAAGACAGGAATCCAAAAAGAGAAATGAATTCAAAATGCAAGAGCAAAGTGAGCGTGAGCAGCTCATCAGTTAATAGTCTTGTGATAAAATGTGAAGCATGTGGTTATTGATGAGATCGGTGAAATTCCTTCCCATCTTGGGATAGGCACTAATTGGAACAGGTGATATTTTATATGACCACATCAGTTGGAACATGGATTTAAAAACAGAAATGCAAAACTGTGCAGCTGAAATTCGAGCAAAATAAATGAATGGTAAAATGTTACCAGGACAACCTTGTGGATGCAATTAGTGCTACTGACTTGTACGCTAAAAAAATGATTAAAATGGAAACTTTTGTGTTACAGTTTACCACCGTTTTGTAAGATGGTACTAGGGGTATCAAAGGCTACACATGTGAATGAACTGAAAACTGAACCAACACATGTAATCATTACAGTTGCTATATGTATATATATCTTTACTCAAACAATGAGCAAGACAAAGAGCCTTAAATCCATGCATATATTTTATCAGTTTAGAGTGAGTCTTTCTCCAAAATGCAGACAAGAAAGTGCACTTTGAAAGTTTGCATCCTTATGTCACATGCTGAAAAATCTTAACATTGTAGTTTCACTATAAATCTACCTATTGAAATTGTAAAATGGTAATGTAAGATGCAACTATAAAAAATAATGTTTTTAGCCCAGCCGGTGTGGCTCAGTGGTTGAGCATCAACCCATGGACCAATAGGTCACCAGTATGATTCCCGGTCAGGGCACATGCCCAGGTTGTGGGTTCTATCTCCAGTAGGGGCTGTGCAGGAGACAGCCAATTGATATGTCTCTCTCATCTATGTTTCTATCTCTCTCTCCCTCTCCCTTCCTCTCTCTCTAAAAACACCTATTAAAAAGTTGTTTTAATAATTTTAAAATAAAACTAAGTATTGTTTCCACATCAAATATTAACATATTAAATATTAACATGTATTTAATAGTAATATTATTAATATTAATATAATAAACATTGCTTTCACAGAACCTACCTGGGACAGGGTGGACACCTGCATTGTTTCCGATGATGCCATTATTACCCAAGATATTTCTGAAACTCCTTTTGGAAATTTCCTTTGTATCTAATTTGCAGGTCACTTGAGAAAGTAGGCTTGTCCCTTTATAGTCATACTTTCAGGATCTAAAACCACATTACCTGGCTCAATCATCCAACTTGTTTACCAGCTTCATTTCAAATGAGTCTTGGCAATTTCCAGAAGTCAAATTCATCCTGGAACGTATGAGGTCCCATAATGGAGGTACTAAGACCAGTAGGGCAGGCTCTAAGAATAACATCAAATATGTTTCGAAATATTTGGAGCGATGACAGTATTTTTGGGGTTGTGCACACAAGCTCCAGAGTTAATGCCTCTGCAAGAGAACTTTCAATTCGCAAGACCCACTTTGTGGGAGGACTGAACAGTCACAGTCCTTCACACACACACACACAGCCCCTGTGTGAGAATCTGCTCTCCAGAGATGTCAAGCTGACGCTATACTTGGCTTAGTCTTTAATAACAAGTGTTAATCAGGTCTCCGTCCTCCAAGCTTCCTAGCTACTGATAAGAATTCCAAAAAAGATGGAAATAAAGTTCTTGTGTATTCCCTTCCACTTCAAATACCAATTTTTGAAAGTTAAATTGTTTTTCACCTCCAGTGCCCACCCTCTTCTCCTCCAATCCCCACCTCTTTTCTGACTGCCTTGTCTTCTTGTCCTCACCTGCAGGGAGGAATGATCATCATGCTTTTGCTCAGTGTGGCCATCATAGTGCTTTCTGTCATCAACGTGGGCAAGAGCATCATGTTTGTCATGACACCCTACCTGTGGGCCACCTCCTCCCTGATGCCCTTCATCGGCTTCCTGCTGGGCTACGTTCTCTCTGCGCTCTTCCGCCTCAATGGACAGTAGGTATTACTGTCGGTCTCGCTGTCCCATGGGCCTCATTCTTGGCCTGGTCTCTAGGAAAAGGATGAGGAGATCTGGGGAAGCATTTCACTAGTATGCTCAAGTGCATCAACTGAACAAGGGACTTTAGACTGTGAGAAATATTGAGAAATAAATGAATGGGTTAGAGACATCAATCCAGAGACCAACAGCATCTCTCTAACCATTCAAAGAGCAACAACTCATGGCAAAGTGCTCCCTCAGAGCCTAGATTCCCTCTCCTGCCCAACTCCTTGGTAGCTCATGGCACTGGGGTATCTCCACGTCATCATGACAAGTGTTGATCATATTCTTCCTCTTCTACTTTTCTTCCTTTTTGCTTTGACAAGACACCATCAAGCGACAGCTCTGCTAAGTGGACTCAGAGCTGAACTAGCTGGGACCTTGGCTATAGCCTAATCCGATTCACAAACAGCTGCTACTTTAGGGGAACAGATGAGTCTGAGAGCCTGCTATGGGATCATCAGGCACCCTGTCTGCAGAGAGCAGTACATTTCAGAAACTTCTGCCCTTTTCAAGCATAGTAGGCAAATGCTCATGCAGGAATTTACATTAGTAACATCTCAGCACTTCCCCTCACCAAAAAACATGTTTTAAAAATACAATTTTAAGCTCGGCCAGTGTGGCTCAGTGGACTGAGCATCGTCCCATGGACTGAGAGGTCCCAGTTCGATTCCCGGTCAGGGCGCATGCCCAGGTTGTTGGGCTCGATTCCCAGTAGGGGGCGTGCAGAAGGCAGTCAATCGATGTTTCCCTCCCACATTGATGTTTCTATCTCTCTCTCCCTTCCTCTCTCTCTAAAAAATCAATGAAAACATACTTTAAAAAATACAATTTTAAAATAATTATCCATACAGAGAACAAATTGAGGGTTGCCAGATAGGAGGAGGGTTGGGAACTGGGTGAAAAAGGTGAAGGAAATAAGAAGTACAAATTTGTAGTTACAAAATAGTCATGAGGATATAAAGTACAGCACAGGGAATATAGTCAATAATATTACGATACTATGCATCGTGCCAGGTGGGTACCAGAATTATCAGGGGACCACTTCGTAAATTATATGTAATTGTCTAACCCCTATGTTGTACACCTGAAACTAATATAAAATAATATCGAATGTCAACTGCAGTTGAAAATTAAATTTGAAAAATAACTTTAAAAAATAAAAATAGCCATTCATTTTTAAAAGCATGCTAAAGAAGAACAAATGACTACAGGATGTAACACATGGTGATACACTAGTCAAAAGGCTGCCACTGGCCACTTGATGTCAGTTTTCACAAAGACAGTGATGTGAATCACAGTGGCCCAGCACCAAGCACCCTCACAGCAGCCTTCTGCGTAACGCGCTGGGGCAGTTCTCAGGGGTCTCAGTGAAGAACAACTATTTTAATGCAGTAATTACAATTCAGTGAATTAAATGTATATTCATTAAACGTAAACATCCCATTCTTTAATCCATAAAATGGAAGGCAAAACCAAGAGAATGTATTCCAATGATAGATCACTGGGGCTGAACCAAGTGTTTTATTTTTTTAGTGATCACGTTAAGGTAGCCAAGCCAGAAATTTGCAAACGGGACAGGGTTCCCAGACATCTCAATCCTCTACTGTATGTTGAAATTGTCATTGTCCTGTATGTAAACCCAATATATCATGCCAGTGACTGATACTGGCTCACACCTTCCTTCCACTCCTCACCAGCTAGACATTTCTCCCCATTTTAATTTGGTAATCTTACAAAAGTGGACAAATCGTAGGTTTCCAAGATAATAAAAAATGATCTCATAAAAAAATCCCTCCGTGAACCAACCAGTCAGCACCTTCCACAAGGCTAGACTAGTGGTTTTAATTGTTCAACTCCCTTCTCTTCAAACCATGTGCACTCCACACCCTGGCGCACTTCCTGTCTCGGACCCCCGGAGGGTCTGAGAGCATCTGGGAGGGAGGAGGTAGGGAAGTGAGGTGGCAAACTCATGCCTCCTCCATGAGGCCATATGGGGTTGGTTTTTGTTGTGTTTTTGTTTTTGTTTTTAACTTATACAGGTGCAGACGCACTGTCAGCATGGAGACTGGATGCCAAAATATTCAACTCTGCTCCACCATCCTCAATGTGACCTTTCCCCCTGAAGTCATCGGGCCACTTTTCTTCTTTCCTCTCCTCTACATGATTTGCCAGCTTGGAGAAGGGCTGCTCCTCATTGTCATCTTTCGGTGCTATGAGAAAATCAAGCCTTCCAAAGGTGAGTACTGAATGATTCCCCTTGGAGATCTCCCATATTGCAGGCAAACAAGTGTCTGGCAAGGACCTGTTGGATGGGGCTACACTCTTATCAAGTCACTAGGGACCAGGTAGCAGCAAGAAATACGAAGGGATCTCAAAGGGCCAAGGCTACTTAATTCACTGCGTTGTGTTTTGGATGGATTTTGCCTCATAGGACCAGGCAATTCGGACTGCTTTAACCAAGGAGACCATGTATAGGGCTCAGAATGAGAATGCAGGACAGAACTATCCTGGCCAATAAATAGATAGTTGTGAGATATTAGTTGTGTGAAAGGCTCTATTCACAAGAGTTCAGGAAGTTTGTACGTTAGGTTCTCGTGTCTTGGAGACCACTGGCGCACCTACAGGAGGGAAAACATTAAAGCAATGCAGACTAATAACCCTGAATCCAAACACACAGGATTCCGAGTCTGGTTACACAGTAAAGAGAACTTAAGTAATATATGCACAACCAATGGACACTGACAATAGTGTGGGGAAGGCAGGAGGGGGCAGGAATGGGGAGGAGGGGTCAATGGGGAAAAAAAGGAGAATCATCTGTAATACATTCAACAATAAAGAAGAGTTTAAAAAAAAAACTTAAGTAAAGCTTATTAAACAGTAGCTATCATAATAATCTAGTTTGATCTGACTTATATCTTAATCTGATTGCTGCTGGATTAATAACTTCCTAGCCAATTAGCACCTATTTTCTAAGGCTCAGATAATTTCATTCTCTTCAAAACGTAATCAAAACTCAAGAAAGCTCAGAGTTCCTTCTTTAGGTCTTTTTTTTTTCAAAGCCAGAAAACTCAACCTTACTTGGTAAGATGTTTCAGTATTTTATATTCTACACATAAGTATATTCGTAATCACTCAAATGCTCAATCTTATTCCCACGAACTTAATTGAGGGCCACCCCATCAAGACCTTTTCTAGACCAGGGGACTGATTTACACCCTAGGAGAAAGAGGCAGCTTCCCCTCGTGAAATTACCTTACTGTAGGCAAGAGCGGATTTACAATGAACTAAAAGGTAATCTTGGTTATCAAGCAGCCAAAAATAAATCAATAAATAGATGATTATACTTTAGAACCATTTTGTAAGTTTTAGTTCAAAACTACAATGGAGTTGTAGAAAATCTAGTCTGGTGCTTATCCAAGAGCAACTCAGGAAACCTGTTGCCCACTGATATCTCTACCTGCTTACCAAAAACGCAGGAGAGAAGAAAAGTTTCTAAACCAACCCATCAGGTTCCTAGTTTTAGTCCCGGAAAGGCCCCAAGTGCAGTCACAGGGTTATACTCTAATGATGGGTCTTTGGCTCGCAAGACCTAAAAGGAACTTCACTCACAATGCGCTTCAGGAGACCCCCTAGGGCAAAACTAAGTGAAAACACCTTACTTTTTGGACCTAATGAAACGTAAGGGCCTAAGCAGCAGTGCTCAGAATGAAGAATCTGCCAAGTTTTTGTGATTTTGACCCCTGTTCCCTTCTGTCGAGATGGGAGAACCAGAAAGGAAGGTCCTGACTCCCGGCTTCACAGCTCCGCACCACATCCATGCAGCCTAGAAAAGTTCAAACCACCACATGGGGGAAGGGAGGTACATGGAAACTAACCTTAGAAGACTTCCCTAAAGCTCTTTCCACCCTGATCCCTCCTTACTCCCCAAACAACCTTGCTTAAACTCAACTCCCTATTGCACTGCATGGACAAAGAAGCTGGACATGGAGTCAAAGAGCCAATATTCTGCTAAGTAGACCTTCTGTGACTAGCGTTACCATTAGGGATGTTGAGGGAAAGCAAATCTTGTCTCAAAGTCAAGTCATGGGAGGAGAGCTGGTCAAGAGGCGGAAAAAACAAAGCCCATCTTAGGGGTGAATTGGTATTCTTTTATCTTCCAGATTGAACAAGCTTTGTATTAAGTATTCTCTCATTCTCCTTCCCCACCCATGACCCTTTTCAACTTTACAGATAAAACAAAAATGATCTACACAGCTGCCACCACAGAAGAAACCATCCCAGCAGCTCTGGGAAATGGTACCTATAAAGAGGGGAGCTCCCCGTACACAGCCTAGCCTCCCCCCGTGACCTGGATTCAGGTCGGAAGGAGATTCAGAAGACCGGTGTGGTAAACTACAAAGAAAGCAGAAAGATGGAAAGAACACACCAGCAGTGTCTGAGTCTTTCTCCAACATTTCCAGCAGAAACGATCAGAATCATCAAAACATCAAAAGCCTTGCCTGGAAGACGGGGAGGAGGGGGTGTTCTACCCTAAAAGCCTCACCTCATTCCAGCTTAGAATTTGATACTTGTTTAAAAAAAAAAAAAAGTAAAGACTCGTTCAGTGACAACCCTATGAAGGGAACCAAAACTGCTTCTGCCATCTCTAGAACAGTGCCTGGTAGGCATATAAAAGGCACTCGATTTCTTGTGACCGGGTGGGTCAGTTGATTGTAGCATTGTTCCATACTCCAAAAGGTTGTGAGTTCGATCCCCAGTTGGGGTGCCTCCGGGAGACAACTAATTGATGTTTCTCTCTCACATCGACGTCTCTCTCTCTCTCCCCCTTTCTTCTTCTCTCTTTAAAGTCAATAAAAACATATCCTTGAATGAGGATTTCCCCAGAAAAGGCACGTGATTTCCGAACTAGTCAAAATTTTTTTCCTAAAAATCAAACACCCAAATCCTGTTCCAAGTTTTGTGACTAAAAAAATAAATGCTCAGAGAGCTGTAGGGTTAGTAGACTTCTAAAGTCCTTTTTAATAACCTTAAAAATTCAGATCCTGTTCCTTCCCTTTTGACATCACTACTGGAATTAAAGCTCCTGAGAACACAAATATGACGCCAAGTATACAAACGCAGACATGATAAAATGCAAAAGCAGTTAAACAAGACAAACTCAAAAAGTTAACCATAATAAAGTGAAAGATTATTCCAGAAGTAAAGGGGAAAACTATAATCCCAGTAGAGGGGGAAAACTTTCAACAAGAAAAAATCAGGCAACAAGAAATACAAACATCAACAGAATTTTTTCGTTAATCTAATATTCTGTCCCATCAGTTCATTAGGTATCAGTGGTTTTCACATTATGCTCCCTCATAATTCAGGGTTAGGATATTGCCAAAATGAATGGTTTCTCAATTCAAAGAAGATACTGAAATTGAAATTCTTTTTTTTTTTTTTTTTTTTATCCTCACCCGAGGACATTTTTCCATTTTTTGCTCAGGTAGAGTGGGAGGGAGAGAGAGGAACAGAGAGAGAGAGAGAAACATCGATGTGAAAGGGACACATCGAGTGGCTGCCACCCGCACAACCGACCAGGGCCGGGGACAAACTGCAATCGAGCCACGCGCCCCTAGCGGGAACCAAACCCGGGTCTCTCAGGACCGCAGGCCGACGCTCTAACCGCTGAGCCAAACCGGCCAGGGCTGAAATTGAAATTCTTAAAGTTCAAATTTTCTCCAGTGAAATTTAAACATTTTGCATATACAAAATGTGCAGAAAACATTGAGTCAAAGATTAAATAACAACTAATATTGACATTTGCACCCAGCTAGTGTGGCTCAGTGGTTGAGCACTGACCCATGCACCAAGAGGTTGCCAGTTTCATTCCCAGTCAGGGCACATGCCCAGGTTATGGGCCCAGTCCCCTGTAGGGGACATGCAGAAGGTAGCCAATCGATGTTCTCTCTCCCTCTCCTTTCCTCTCTCTCTAAAAAACCAATAAAGAAAAAAAATATTAAAAAGATGGAGGCTCACCTTTTTAAAAAAGAAAGAAAAAAAAAAAACAACCTTGCAAACAGCTGCCTAACTACTTGTGATTTTCATATCATTTAATGATTACATACAACTGAAACTGGGACAATTTCGGGGCACTGGTCTGGCAAATATCCAGGACTATCAATATTTTCAGTACCAGAGTAAACTTAAGAATCACTGATATGGGCCACTAATATCCTATTAAAAATGAAGACTTGCACCCTAGTCAGTTTGGCTCAGCAATTAGTGTCCACTCACAGACCCAAGGGTTGCAGGTTCAGTTTCTGGTCAAGGGCATGAATCTGGGTTGCAAGATTTGATCCCTACCCTGGTCAGGGTCATGTAGGAGCTAACCAATCGATGTGTCTCTCTCTTTCTCTGCCTCCCTTCCCTTCCACTCTATCTGAAATAAATCAATGGGAAAATATCGACCGAGGATTAACCAAAAAAACAATGAAATAAAAAATTAAGACTTGTGAAAAGGTCTACCATTTATCTGTTTACATATTACACCCATATATTGACCCATCTATTCAAATTGTTTTCTCTAATATCTAGAAGACATCGTCTGCTAGGAAACTTGGTTAAGTAAAACAAAACAATATAAGAACAAGTTTAGCTTTTGAGGAAGGGAAGGCTGGATTTAAGATGTATTACCCTCAGTGTAAAAAGGTGGAGGGGAATATAGTCAATAATAATGTGGTAAGTCTGCATGGTGACAGATGATTGCTAGCCTTACTGTGGTCAACACATTGTGTGGGATATAAATGCTCAAGCACTATATTGTACTCCTGAAATAACGTAATACTGTATACCAACTACACTTTTAAAATAATATTGCAGGCAAAATAGATGTTACCTTCAAACTTTCCTTACAGACCACTAGATGAAAGGAACAAATGCATAGAACACAAAAGTTGCACTGTGCCCTACAAAGGCTGGTCTTAAAACTGCTTACACTCACACCCACACTCCTCAGGGCTTCTCGGGACCTTAAATTTTCGGCTAGAGCACGTGTCTGCCGCTGCCCCTGGGACCCAGCGTCATCACTCACTCGGAGCACAGGTGAGCCTCCCAGAGAGGCTGGGGGCGCAGCTCCCCGCTGCATCTTCGGTGCCCCAGCCCACTGCTCTGAGGCCAGCATCAGATGCCCCCCAAAAAGGGAGGTGATGAAATTAAACCATCCCCAATCATTGGAAGATTTGGCATCTCCTTGAAAATTGGTATTGTTGGATTCCCAAATGTTGGGAAATGTACTTTCTTCAATGTATTAACCAATAGTCAGGCTTCAGCAGAAAAATTCCTGTTCTTCACGACTGATCCTAATGAAAGCAGAATACCTCTATGCCCGATGAAAGGTTTAATTTTCTTTGCCAGTACCACAAACCAGCAAGCATAATTCCTGCCTTTCTAAATGTAGTGGATATTGCTGGTCTTGTAAAAAGAGCTTCCAGTGGACAAGGCCTGGGAAATGCCTTGGAATCTTTCATCTAACACATGCTTTTGAAGATGATGACATCACACATGTTGAAGGAAGTGTAGATCCTATTCAAGATATAGAAATAATATAGGAAGAGCTTCAGCTTCAAGATGAGGAAATGATTGGGCCCATTATATATAAACTAGAAAAAGTGGCTGAGGAGATAAAAAACTCAAACCTGATTATGACAACATGCAAAGCCCAATCATAGGTTATAGATCAAAAGAAATGAGTTTGCTATCATGATTGGAATGAAAAGGAGATTGAAGTGCTGAGTAAACCCTTATTTGACTTCAAAACCAATGGTCTACTTGGTTAGTTTTCTGAAAAAGACTACATTAGAAAGGAAAACAAATGGTTGATAAAAATTAAAGAGTGCCCTGGCCAGTTTGGCTCAGCAGTTGGAGTGTCGGTCTGTGGACCAGAGAGTCCTGGGTTCGGTTCTCGCTTGGGGCACGTACCCGAAAAAAAAAAAAGAGTGGCGCCCGGCCAGTGTGGCTCAGTGGCTGAGCGTCAACCCATCACCAAGAGGTCGCCAGTTTGATTCCCAGTCAGGGCACATGCCCAGGTTGTGGGCCAAATTCCCAGCGGGGGGCATGCTGGAGGCAGCCAATTGATGTTCTCTTCCTTGATGTTTCTCTCTCTCTCTCTCTCTCTCTCTCTCTCACCCTTCCTCTCTCTCTAAAAATCAATCAAGAAAAAAAATTTTTTTAGAGTGGGTGGACAGGTATGACCCAGTGCCTTGGTCATTCCTTCCAGTGGGGCCTTGGAACTCAAGTTGCAAGAACTGACTGCTGAGGAGAAACAGAAGTATCTGGAAGTGAGCATGACACACAGCACTTTGCCCAAGATCATTAGGGCTGGGTTTGCAGCACTCCAACTCGAATCCTTTTCCACTGCAGGCCCAGATGAAGTGTGTGCATGGACCATCAGGAAAGGGATGAAGGCTTCTCAGGCTGCAGGAAAGATTCAATAGAATGTGAAAGGACTCATTATGGTTGAAGTAATGAAATATGAAGATTTTAAAGAGGAAGGTTCTGAAAGTGCAGTCAAGGCCACTGGAAAGTACAGACAAGGGCAGAAATTACATTGTTAAAGATGGATATATTATCTTCTTCAAATTTAATACACCTCAGCAACCAAGGAAATAAATTTCAGTTATTGCTCAGATAAACATACAATTTCCAAAAGGTGTATGATTTTTTTTATCCTCACCCGAGGACACTTTTGCATTTATCTTGAGATAGAGCAGAAGGAAGAGAGAAAGAGAGAGAGAAACATCAATGTGAGAGAGACACATGGAGTGGTTGCCAAACCCACACGACCCCAACCAGGGCCAGGGACAAACCGCAACCGAGGTACCTGCCCTTAGCTGGAACTGAACCCGGGACTCTCTGGTCCACGGGCCGATAACCGCTGAGCCAAACCGGTCAGGGCAGTTGTATGATTTTAGAATTCAAAATTCTGAAAACTCGCCCAGCCAGTGTGGCTCAGTGACTTGAGCAGTCCCATGGACGGAGGTCCCAGTTCTTCCCATCAGGGCATATGTAGGGGGCGTGCAGGAGACAGCCGATCAATATTTTTCTCATCAATGTTTCTCTCTCTCCCTTTCTCTAAAAAAAAAAAAAATCAGTAAAAAAATAATTCTGAAAACTGAAGGGACACACAAAGTTGATGGATGGGAATCTCTACAGAATTGCTTTAAAATTAAAATACTGTGCCCCTCCAATGAAATGCAAGCTCTCTAATGTGAACAGCTCTGCTTTTCACATTAAGACCCTACTCCAAATTGTAGCTTTTCAGAAACCATATTACTCTCATACCTGACACATTTGACAGCGAGGACAATATGGCTTGCTCCTTTTTGAATCTACAGATAATGCATGTTTTACAGCACTCCAGATGTCTACACTCAATAAAACATTTGACAAAACCAAAACTAAAAAAAAAAAAAAAAATCTAGGCAAACTTTTTGGTCCAAACCAACTCTATATTCTCTATCATTTGTTTAAAGGGTCTTATTTTATCACCTCACTGTATAATGAACTATTTGTAATATTAAACAGTAAGCCACTTATATTTACCCATTTAAGAGGGGCAGAAAAAAATCAAAGTCAACTGGTAAATCAAAGTACATAAACCATACAATTTTAAAAGCCCAAGGGGGGTAAAATTGCCTCTTCATTTTTTTTTTCTTTTTTGGTTCGTGCCCCTAGTGGGAACCAAACCCGGGACTCTCTGGTTCGCGGGCCGACACTCCAACTGCTCCAACTGCTGAGCCAAACCAGTCAGGGCTTGCCTCTCCATTTGATAACTGCTTGGCTGACTTGTACAGCCTTCAGAAATACACTATAAATAAAAACAAACAACTAGGTTCTGCCATTTTGGTTTTTTTAATCCTCACGTGTAGGTATGTTTACTGATTTTAGAGAGGGAGTGACATCAGATGCCTCCCAAACACACCCTTACCAGGGATTGAACCCACAACCTAGATGTGCCTTATCAATCAAACCTGCAACCTTTTAGGCAACAGGATGACACTCCAACCAATTGAACCACCAGTCAGGGCAGGTTCTGCCATTAAAACGTTTTTTCCCTTTACTGATTTTGAGAAAGGGAGAGATAAACATGGAGAGAACATGGACTGGCTGCCTCCTGCATGCCCCCCACTAGGGATCGGGCCCACAACCTGGGCATGTGCCCCTACTGGGAATCGAACCAGTGACCTCTTGGTACATGGATCAACGTTCAGCCACACCAGGTGGACAGGTTCTGCCATTTTAAATAAAGCCAGTGTCCTCCATCCAAGTTAATGGACATCACACAAACTTTCCCTAGAATCAGCTTCACAATTTTATGGCCCAAGGTCTAGTCTTCAATACAGAGGGAAGTGGCTTCCGTGCCAGTATACCAAAGTTCTCAAATTGACCTTCAAGTAAAGATTCCCTCTAGCAGATCACTCTCCCCACTTTGGAGAAACCAAAAGCAATCTTTCCAGTGTTTTCCTCAAAACCCCTGCAAGGCTATGCGAGGGTCTACACCCAAGTGTGCTTTTGTAGACTTTCTGGATTCTCATACCAGTTCATTTACTTGCTCTTCTCTTTGGCTCTGAATGTCCTCCAGTAAAACAGTATTACATAGTAAGTTTTGAAGACTCAGAGATTATCAACCAAATATTTATCTAGCCTTGCACTCAAATAGAGGACTAAAATGTCTGATCAGTCTGAGGTTCCTTCAAGTTGATCTGCAGGTAGCAGGCTCTAACACTTAACATAAAGAACCTTAAGCAGCTTTCACTATTGTTTCCCCCTTAACATATATTGTCACATCCATGTCTCAAAACTCATGAAAAAGCAAGTGAACCCCGTGAGAGGATTTATGTGCACTAACTTTAAAAGCAACAAAGGCTGCATTACAACCTTAAAGACAGGCATTAAAACAATTACTGTACAATCTGCTTCCCAAATTGTCCTTCTCAGGACTATAGGATTCTAAGTAGCCCAATGCCAGTAGAACAATCAGGTATAAAGTGAGAGTATGGAGGGTCACATGCAAAGGAAACAGCTTTGAACCGTTCGTCTGTCACCACTGCTTTAAACAGTTCACCGATTTCTTTGCTTATCTTTTAAATAGCCCTGGAAATGTCGAAAGTACTATTTAAATTTTTCTTCACTGATTTAAGAGGAAGAAAGGGAGAGAGAGAAACATCGATTAGAGAACATAGATTGCCCGCCTCCCTGCATGCCCCCCACTGGGGATGTGGCCCACAACCTGCTCATGTGCCCGGACCAGGAATCGAAAATGGTGACCTCTTGGTGCATGAGTTAACACTCAACCACTCAGCCACACCAGCTGGGCTATTTAAATTTTTAAAAAACAAAAATAAAACCTGGACAAATAACTTCAGGATTCTCGACAAGGAATTACGAATGTGTTAAATGTAGATGGGGAAGAAGTAAATGCACACATCCTTCAGACAGACAAAAGTAGTTTTATAATCTTTTATTATCAATAACAAACAGCTGCTTTAACGCCTTTGTCAGGCAGCTGTTAAAGGGTGGGTGGGAGGACACCCTGGACCCTAACAAGGAAAACTCAAATTAAGCCTTTATATACAAGCAAATTTAGAGCTCTTTTAAATGTCCAAAGCTATTAATTAGTTTAATTGACACATTAAACTAATTCTGAATTAACATTTGAATAACCAAGAACTAAAATGTTCAAATTTTTTCTAGTACAAAAAAATTAAATTTGCTTTAGTTATAAAAGAGCTCTATCAATATACACAAACTATATACTTCAGACATTCACAAAAATGTGAGCAGAAGGCTTATCAAAAGACATTTAATACAATTAGTTTTCAACAACCCCCTTGGTGGTCCACATCTACAAAGATATCCAGCCCAACCCAACCCCCCTCCAGACCCCACCCCCACAGAAAAGCACATACTTACCAGAACTTTTAGCAAGTATGGTTTGGGAATTTGTGGTTGTTCGTTTTTTTTGTTTGTTTGTTTGTTTTTTAAAAAAAAAACGGCCCCCTGGGCAGCAAGTTATTTACAGTTTAATTGCCACTGTCAACTGATCTGGACCGAGACCGAGACCGAGACCTGGACCTCTGGCGATCCACAGATGCTGGAGACTTAGATCTACTTGAAGAACCACGTTTCTGGCTCTTCTCTGGTGCAGGAGACCTACTAACAGAACGGGACTTGCTCCGGCTCCGGCTCCGGCTCCTGCTCCTAGACCGACTGTAAGACTTGCGACTCCGAGACCGAGATCGGCTACGAGACCTAGAGGAACTCCTGGTCCGGGAACGAGACCTGCTTCGTGACCTACTGGGAAGGAAAAAAGATAAATACAACATAAGCAGCAGGCCCTACAAATCCATTAAGTAAAACTGAATTAAAAATGTTAAAGAGATACCTGTGCCTTTTGCTGCCTTCAATTAATTTGATTTTTCTCCCATTTATTTCCTTTCCAGAAAGTTTTTCAATAGCATTCTTTAAGTCACCATAAGAGGCAAACTCAACTACCCTATAACGAAGAAAAAAAAAGTGTGAAGATAGGTACACCTAAGTCTCACAAGCTGTAGGAACCTAGATTAAGTTATCTTTTCCATGTTCATTTTGCTACTGCTATATATACACCAAGCGTCTTTAACTCTCTCTCAATGGATAATGTGGCATTAGAGCAAGGTTTCTCAACCTAACTGTTGACATTTTAGCCAGACAAGTCTTTGTTGTGGGGAGCTTTCCTGTATATTACAGAAGTGTTCATATGCATCACTGGCCTACTTCCACAAGATTCCAGACATTGCCAAATGTCCCCTGAAGCAAACTCACCTAAGAACCAAGAGCACACGTGCAAATTTTAAGTACTCAGAAACACAGTAAAAATTTCAAGATGTGTATGTATGTTTTTAATCCTCACCTGAGGATGTTTTTTCCATTGATTTTTAGGGAGAGAGGGAGAGAAACATCGTTGAGAGACACATCAATTAGGTTGCCTCCTGCACAAGCCCCAACCAGGGCTGGGGATGGAACTTGCCCCCTTCACTGGGAATTGAACCCGTGACCCTTTAGTCCAAGGGCCGACGTTCTAACCACTCAGCTACACTGGCCAGGGCTTCAAGATATTTTCAAAGGCTTATAATCTTCAGTACATACTCACCCTTCATTTAATTTAGGTCGATGTGCATCGGCAAAGGTTACTTCTCCAGCTTGTCTCATGAAATCTTTGAGATCCTTAACGCAAGACAATTGTGTTAAGCAGAGAAAAGGAAAGGTGACACACAAACAACAACATTGTATAAAAACAAGACTACTGAAAGAGAAGATGTTAGATAAAGTACAAACATGGCATTTACCACACTTGTATTCTATCAGAATTCAAAAATTATCTATGTCAGGGCACGAAATAAGCAAATAGCATATTGCTTTTAAGCAAAATGCTCAGGAAATTTACTTTAACATTAAGTAGTATTAGTCTATACTGAGCTCAATACAAAAGGAAAACAAACAAAAAAACAAAACAAAACAAAATGAAACAAAAAGAAACAGTACATATTTTTAAAGTAAAGACTAAAAGTAGAAATTTTATATTTAAAAACAGAACATTTACAAGACACCAGTTATTTTGTGCCCCATATGTCATTAAAAAAGTTTACTTTACCTTTATTATTATTTCCCTAGGCTAGTCAAGCAGCAAACCGTTAAATCGGTCGAAGAAACCTTCATGACATATGCCCGACTGGCTCTTCGCCACCCACTTGAAGGACACTACCCAATCGATGGAAGCCTTTAATCGCACAGCCCTCCCTATTAGCAGACTATTGACGAATGCAGACATGTTCTACTCTTGTGCAGTTACCAAGGACCACTTTACTGCGAACAGGATTCCAACGACCAACTAATTTCGTATCTTTGAACTCTTTCGACCAGGACCTCTTATTCGGAAGCGTTACAGGAAGACAGCTCTCAACTTAGGGATCAGATCACGTTATCAGCGCTCTGGGATCGCTGCAACCTGGCACTCCAAGTAAGTGCCCCGATTACATCTAGACCGGCAAACACAGATCTAGAGGTGGCCAATTGATCACTGTAGGAGCTGACTGGCAAAGTCAACCAGGCCCAACCAAGAGTGACCAAGACAACGATTAGGATAACCCACAGGCACTCCTCGTCATAAGGCCAACGACACAGATAGGCTGGCAAATAAAGGGTTTAATATTTGGTTAAAATTGATTTTAAACACAAGAAAAAAATATCCTCAAAACATTTAACATTTGATCACTAATATTAAAGTTTGAAATATCCCCCAATTACATTTAATTAAAATTTTAAAATTACAATTAAGTCCATTAATTTAATTAAAAATAATACTACTTTTAATAAAATGTTAATAAAACATTAGCTACCCATTCCATTACTTTTTAAAAAGCCACATTAAAATATTTCAGAACTGAATTTCTACAAACCTGCCAGCTGACTCTTGAAGATAAATTCTCAACTATAAGTCGATTTTCTGTTCTTACAGGTGGAGCATTTCTGAGGAAGAAAACAAATATTCACAATGGAAGAAGTACAAAGTGCATTTATTTTGTTCAACCGTGAGCCAAGTTTATGCAATCAGACATGACAAGTCATTCAAATGACTTCATCAAGTTTCTGAATTATTTTATGATTCATCACACAGACTTAACAGAAACAATGGACTGAATCAGGAATTAGAAAAATGACTTTTTTGATAAATACCAATATCATTGCTTACTAATGGTCCTTAATCACTAAATAGGCATGCAATAATAACTGTTTCAAAATAGCCATCCACCATTACATACCGTCTATCATTTCGAGGTCTGCGACTACTAAAACGATCAGAGTAGCGTCCCCTACCCCTTCCACCTCGAGACCGAGCCCGAGCATGTTCAATAGTAACCCTACAGAAAGGAGAGAAAAAATAATTACCCACATTAGCTATGTAAGAGTTCTAGTTAGGAGAATACCCCAACATACCTTAAGTCTACTCTATTTTAGAATGCTAACTAGTTATAAAACTAAAAATAAGATTCCTGACCAGCTGGTGCGGCTTGGTGGATCGGGTGCTGTCCCAAGGACTGAGAGGGCTCGGTTTGATTCCCGCTCAGGGCACCTGCCCAGGTTGTCGGCTCCATCCCCAGTGAGGGGTGTGCTGCAAGCAGCCGATCCACGTTTCTCTCTCTCCCTCTTCCTTTCTCTCTCTGTAAAATCAATAAAAATACCTTTAAAAAGTTAAGTCTCACCTTTCACTGCAGAGTTCTTTTCCATCTAGTTCATATACGGCATCATCAGCATCCCTGGGATCCTCAAATTCCTAAAATACAAGCATTAAGAAAACATAATGTTTAGCAGTTTTAACAGTGCTTTCTACAATATATTAAGAGGACTAAAAGTATTTAACAGACGGGAGAAGGCATCTTAATGACAGCGCCATATCAATAAGCCTAATTGACAAGTGAGCAGGAGTGGTTTCCCTCCAGTCAGCAGTGAGGTTCTTTTATTCCTTAAAACAATTCACTGCCTTAAAGATGCGTAACAGTTTCTAAAAATACTCTACCTGACTCAGTAAGATGAAGCACATCACTTATCAAAATGTCAACTAACTTAACAACCAGTTCTAAATACTCACCACAAAACCAAAACCTCTTTTCAGATCGATGTCTCTTATTCGCCCATATCCCTTGAAGAATCTTTCCACGTCCTTCTCCCTGGCCGCTGGATTTAGCCTCCCGATGAATACTCTACAGCCACTCATGACGCCCGGCTAGTACTTCCTGTTAGAAATAGAATTCAATTGAGACGATACCAGTGAATGTCAGCAGAATGCCTGGTCAGGGGGTCAAAAACAAGAACGGCATAAAGTAAAATGTTTACCGGGTGATGTTATAAACAAGATTGCCAAGTGTGCCTCTTATTAGGCCAGGTCCCTTGCAGACAAAATTAAAACTCGGCTCCCAACACGATCCTTCCCTGGGCCCAGAACGCAGCAACCGCAACGCCCACTGCCGCCTCTGGAACTGCGCAGCCTCACTCTCGCCCCGGCTCTTCTGGCCCCCTCCCATCTGCCGCAGTTAGGAAAGGCCGAGAAGTGCGGGCGGAGCCGGCCCCGCCCTCCGCAAGGCCAGCCCAATGGCGACGGGCCGCGCGCGCGTCGCCGCCTCCCGGGAGCGTCACAGCGGGTGGAAGCCGGAATCTCGCGACGCCACGGCCGCGCCTGCGCAGAGGGCGGCGGGCGGACGCTAGGCAGCCACAAAATGGCGGCGGCGGAGCTAGCGGTGGGGAGAGCCGCGCGTGCCAAACTCCCTTCTCCCACCCCCTCCCCCGACTCCACTGTTCCGGAGTCACCAGACCCGCCCGCAGAAATCCCGAACCACACCCCAAGCAAAGCCCACTACTCGAGGGGTTCGGCTAGTAAAGAGGCAGGGAGGGGCGCACAACCCCTCTGTAAAAAGGAACATAACCAAGACCGCCCTTCCACCTTCACTTCCCCTCAACAATACCCAAAGGGAGACGTGCCCCAGCGCCCACCTCGAATAAACTGCGCTCATTGGACGCCATCCTCCGCAAAGAGAGCAGCCCTGGCCACTGATCCGAGTGGCCATGAAGAAGCCTCGATCCGAGAAGCCATTCCCTCAAAGTGAGCCACTCACCTACCGGACAGGATCTTTGGCAGCTGAGACCCAAGAGAGGTCCGTAGTCTGCAACGGAGCCGTCTGCCTCCCCGCAGACCAGGACTCAACTCGGCTACGTCTCTCGACAACTGACGCACTTAGCTGCTCTGGCGTTCGACAAAATGGAGGGTGCGCCTTGCGTCACTTCTGGGAACGCCCCTGGAACCTCCCCCCGGGCTCCAAGGACGGAAGTTTCCGCGAGGTCGGGGCCGGAATACCGCGACCCGCGAGCGACCCTCGCCGGCGGAGCGCTGGGCCGGGGGCGGGAACGGATGTGCGCGCGACCCTCGGGCCCGGCGCTGGAAGGCGGACTCGAAGACGCTGGCGCCTTCTAGGCCGTGACGTGCGGTTCCTCCTTATCTCTTGCCTGAATCTACCCTGAGACAAATGACGCCTCTTTTTTATCTGATTTTTTTTTTAAGATGCCCTGAAGAGTCCTGGATGAGTGAATCTCAGGCTTTGCAAAACTATCTGGCCGTCTCTGACCGCTTGCTGCTTGCAGTTTCAGGCTGAACGGGGGAAGGTGCTCTTGGATGAGCAGTGAATATTTGAACTATACCACGGACGGGTAATTTACAGTAAGGCTAAGGAACCGCAGCATTTTTTAAACGGAAGGTTTTTGCGTGATGGAATGTTGAAATTGGGACTCCAGCCAGAAGGCCAGCTTCAGTGGGGTCCAGAACGCAGGTTTCTGCCTTCCCACTGCACTAAAACGGGGCTGGCTGGGACAGGTTTCAAGCTGCTTGGACGTCCAGAAGGCAGTTGGTCGACCCTCCCTGTTCAGCTTTCTGTAATGTAACACATGGAAGTCTGCCACTCCTCAAACAGGAGGTTGTGTTTTCAAAGTGGGTATGAAACATAGGCCTCCACTTCCTTGACGCGGCGTTTTCCCGGTTAGTTTGTCAGGCTTAGAAATTTGAGCATAAAGATGGTGAAAGCTTACTCTTCTCTAATGCTTTTAGGTGGAACCCGAAGCACCCCATTTTTGAGAGGTGCTCAGAATCTAAGGTTGCTGCTTGTAACTAGAATTACACAGAGATAAAGTAGTTCAAGAAGGAACAGAGCTACTGGCCTTTAACTCTGGTCTTTACTCTGATCTCTGAGCGCTGGGGTATTTAGGAACTCTGGGCTAGGACTGGGATAGTTTCTATAGCATGGGCTCGTCCATTCATGCATTTTGGTATTTATTAAAAAAGAACCTCAGCGGGTAATCAGCAAAATTGTGAAGTTAGGTATCTGTTGGGTGGGGAATTAAAGGTGGATTTAAAAGAAAATACTGTACGTACTCGTTAAATTAAAAGAAAACACTTATCTTAGGTGCTAGCCTCAGAACTGTTGGCATCCCATAAGGCAAAAAATGTCCCAAGTCAGTACATATTTAATTAATTTGTTTGCTTTCTGCATAATTTTTAAAAATTGGTCTTCCAATTATTTATTTATTTTTTTTTATCTTCACTCGAGGACATTTTTCCATCCTTTGTACAGACAGAGTGGGAGAGAGAGAGAGAGGAAGAGAGAGAGAGGGAAACATCAATGTGAAAGGGACACATCGAGTGGCTGCCACCTGCACGACCAACCAGGGCCAGGGACAAACTGCAACCAAGGTACATGCCCCTAGCGGGAACCGAACCTGGGTCTCTCCGGACCGCAGGCAGATGCTCTAACCGCTGAGCAAAACCAGCCAGGGCTTATTTTCTACATATTGTGTTACCCGAAGCAACCACTTGTGATTTCACTCACTATTTTTTCTGCAATAAAAGAAAGTAATCTAGAAAGGGTTTTCTATGGGGTAAAAAACAGGAATAGTGGTGCTGTACACTGTGGAAAAAATGGCTTCCTTCTGCCCATGGTGTGATTTTCTTCAGGACTAATTTCTTTTTATTTTTAGAGAGGACGGGAGAGGGAGAGAGAGAGAGAAACGTCAATGAGAGAGAACATGGATTGGCCACCTCCTACACGCCCCCTACTGGGGATCCGGCCCACAACCTGGGCATGTGCCCTGACCGGGAATTGAACCAGCGACCTCTTGGTGCACAGGTACCACACAAGCCAGGCAGGACTAATATTTTAATAAAGCCTTTTCTCTTGACTAATTTACTGTTAGAAAGTTTGCAATTTCCACAAAGGTAATTTTTCATTAGTTTGCCTAGTGACTTAATCTACTATATTTTAAATCACTTGTCTTCCGCAGTGCTCTAATAAGTCTCCCTACCAGACTGTTTCTCGCCCAATTCCCCAATAAACTCATGTTTCATGCACAGAATTACTCTTCCTCCCATGTGATCCTACAATATTCTATGTATACTCCTATCATTCCTTTGTTACTGAGGATGGTTTTACATTTTTAAATCATTCGGGGCTGGGGCGAATCAAAAGAATACTATTTTGTGACACATGATAAGTATATGAAATTCAAAAGTTGTTATTCATAAATAGAGGGGTTTTTTTGAACACAGCCATCCTCATTCATTTAATTATTGTCTACATCTATTGTTCTGTGATGGCAGGGCTGAGAGCTTACCGTAGAGACCACAGGCCCACAAAACCTAGAATATTTGCTATCTGGCCCTTTACAGAAAATGTTTGGCAACTCCCAAGCTGATTCCTAGACTTTAAACTGTGAATACTCCACCCAGCTCCCTTGCCAGATAACAAAATCATAGCAAAGAGACAGGATTTGAATAGAGTTTATTTTATTTTTATTTAAAAAAAAAATTTTTTTATCCACACCTGAGGACATTTTTGCATTTATCTTCAGATAGAGGGGAGAGACGGAGGAGGAGAGAGAGAAACATCCATGTGAGAGAGACACATCGAGTGGTTGCCACCCACACAAACCACAACCGAGGTACATGCCCTTAGCGGTAACCGAACCTGGGACTCTCTGGTCCATGGGCCGATGCTCTAACTGCTGAGCCAAACCAGCCAGGGCTAAATAGAGTTTATTTTATTCCAATTATAAAAAGAAATATATTCTTATGGCAAAAATGTTCAACCGGAAAAATAATTGAAAGAAGAGAATACTCATGATCTCATCTCACCAAATTCACCTCTGATTATATTTCATTCTATATCCTCGTGGTTTTAGTCCTGAGTGTTTAATATGTTTTCTTTTCCCATTCAAAAATGACACCATCACTTTTTTAAAAAACACAGATATGAAAATGTAAAAGGCCAACCTTATTCCCACCATAAGGGATAACTGGCTTTCTTATAATTTACCTTTAGTGTTTTTCTATAAGCACAATTATATTTTCAAAATATAAGTCATCCTCATATATAGAAATTTGGTCTCATGAGTTTTTTAATTCATAAAACTTAACTGTAGGCATTTTCAATGTTTCTTTGTTTTAATATATTTATGGTCAAAAGTGCATATTCAGATTTGTATTTGTTTTTCCACTTACATGCCACAACTACACACCTGGGGAAAATATTTATTCTGACCAAGCTTTTCTGTTACTCAGAAAATGTCCTAAATCTCACCAGAGGCTTAAAAAATTCCTATCCCAAACTCCCAACACTAAGAAAAATGTGTCGCTTCCTTGATTCTAGCTAATAATTCTAAAAATCTTTTGAAGGAATAAGTGTCCTTAATCTCTCTTGTAAATGTATGGGTTTTTTCAAATGTTCAGTTTTGACTCAGATTCACCCCTACATACCTATCTGACTTCTTTCTATTGCTACATCCTGATTTTATTGTTGTTTCATTTAGTGCACAATAATTAAAATACCTGTGAACCCACCACAGTACTTTAATTTGAGTGCCTAGACCGGTGTTTCTCAACACCAGCCATACACTAAAATTACCTAAGAAGTGTTTATTTATTATTATTTTAAAATATGTTTTTATTGATTAAAAAAATTTTTTTTCTTTATTGATTTTAGAGAGAAAGGAAGGGAGAGGGAGAGAAAGATAGAATCATCAAGGATCGAGAACATTGATTGGCCGCCTCCTGCATGCCCCCCACTGGGGATTTGGCCCACAACCCAGGCATGTGCCCTGACTGGAATCATACCAGGACCTCTCAGTTCACAGGACAATGCTCAATCCACTGAGCCACACTGGCCTGGCTAGGAAATGTTTATAGCATTCTGCTGCCTGGGTCCCTGCTGGCAAAAATTCTGATTAATTGATCTGGGGTGGAGCACTAGTGTATTAGTCAGGGATATAGGTAATTCTAATAGTCTACCAGGAATGTTGATCTAGGTCTAGGACTCACTTTTTTGTTCATATAAAACCCATCTGTTATCTGGCTCCATCTTCCCTCCTCCAAATATTCGCATCACACTCAGGCTGTGGCTGGGCCCTATTGGGACAGTCACAGGGAAGCAAATTGTGACACAAATCATCCTAACATCAAGATTAATTTAAATTCAGAGCATTGTCCTTACCATTCCTCTTAATACTTATTGACAGCTGCCATTTCCTGAGGCACTACTATATATCAGGGACTGTGTTATAGACATTACGTTATCTCAGTCTTCATACCAACTCTTCCATGTAGCTGTTATAACAATTTTTAAATGAGGAAACTGAGGCTTAGAGAATTTATGATCTGTTCTGCCCAGAACATCCCACTATCTGATTTTCCTGCCATGGCCCTGTTCACAAAAGCTTGCGGCATGACCTTCATGTGATCTGTTTCTGTGCATTAGAATGGTCCCAGAAATTCCAGAAGCAGGAAACACTTGTACGGAATAGCAGAGTCCTGATCACCAAGGCCAGAGAAGGTTGGAGTGAAGGTAAACGAATAGGCAGAGCATCTCTTCAGAGAGAAGGAGCAAAGAAGATTAGCATAAGGGCTTCTAAGAATATTTTCTTAGGTGGAGATAGACGATAATTTCCATCAATTCAGAATCTGTTGACAAAACTTAGAAATTCTTTGTAGGTTCATAGCATAGTGTTTATCTGATGTTAGTTGGATTATGAATTAACGCCCAATTTAAATTCTAGCTTTGGCTGCTGTTTCTGTTCCACTTTTACCTCTATTCCCAATTGTGATCTAACTCAGTGGTTCTTTAAAAGAATCACGTGGGTACTGCTTCAAATGTGGATTCCCGGTGCTGTTTTCCCAGGGAGCCTGATTCGGGAATCTGAGGCATAGGAGTCTGAATATTTAGCTGGCACACTAACCAGGTAGATCTCAACCAGAGTTTGCAAACAGGCCTGCGTGGTTTGGTTCACGTGGCCCTTTCTCATTATCTCAGCATCCATTGCATGCTTTTTCTCCTCTTTTCAAGCAACCACTTCTCCTTCATTGTTAGCACGTGTTAATTATTTATTACTGTATAACAAATTACCCCAAGATTTTGTGGCTTAAGACCAAAAACATTTATTATTGTCATCGTTTCTGTGAACCACGAACTCAGGAGTGGCTTGACTGGATGGTTCTGGTTTAGAATCTCTCATAAAAGCTGCAGTCAAGCTGTTGGCTGGGGCTGTGGTCAGTCTCAACTGGGGATCTCCTTCCAAGCTCACTCATGTGGCTATTGACAGGCTTTAATGTCTTGTTAACTGTAGACTTTTCAGTTCCTTTCCATGTGGGCCTCTTCATAAGATGTCCTCACAAAATGGCAACTGACTGTCCCAAGAAGGAGTAATCTGAGAGAGAAAAGAGAGTGAATGAAGCCAAGGTGGAAGCTAGTCTTTTTATAACCTGGTCTTGGAAAGTATATACCATAATATATTAGTTTCTTAGGGCTACCATCACAAAGTACCAAAAACTGAGTGGGTTAAAAACAAAGAAACACAGAAATGTATCCTGTCACAGTTCTGGAAGCTGGAAGTCCCAACTCAAAATGTCAGCAGGGCCATGCTCCCTCTGATACCTTGGGGGTGGGGGTGGAGGTAGGGGATGCATCCTTCCTTGCCTCTTCCTAGTTTCCGCTGTTTCCCAGCAATCCTTGGTTTTCCTGGCTTGTAGCTGCATCACTCAAGTCATATGGCCCCTTCTCATGTGTGTCTCCATCATCTTCTGCATGTTTCTCTTTTAAATTTGTATTCAAATTTCCCCTTCTTGTCAGGACACCAGTCATATTGGATGGGGGCCCACCCTAATGCTCTCATTTTAACCTGATTACCTCTGTAAAGACCCTGTTTCTATTAGGACACTTCTGAGGTACTGGGGGGTTAGGATTTCTATTTGGGAGGACACAATTCAACCCATACCACATAGCTTCTGCTATTGGTCACACAGTCCAACCCTGGTACAGTGTGGGAGAAAACTACACAGGCTGTCAGAAGAGGAGGAGGGGATAACTGGGAGTCATCTTCAGCATGCACTACCCCTGTGCTTCCTGCTTCTCTTAGAAAATAGAAGTTATCAGGCCGCCAGCCCCTCAATCTCTTTCCCTCCATCTTCACACTACCCTATATCTTCACTGCTCTTTGTCGTCTGTCTCAGAGAAGGAAGCTTTTCTTTCCAAGGCTTTGGTTCTTCAAGCACCAGATTCCAGACCTTGTTCCATCAATTCCTTTTCTTTTTCTATTTCAAGTCCCACCCTCTCCACTACTCCTTTAATCCTTAACTGCCAAATATGCTTTGTTTCCTTCTTTAGAAAAAGAAACTCCTGTTAACTTATGTCATTTGTCAAACTGCCTCATCTCACCTTTCCTAAGCCAACAAATTTTTTTTTTTCATCTTCACCCAAGGATATTTTTCCATTTGTCTTCAGACAGAGTGGGAGGGAGGGGAGGAGAGAGAGAAAAAGAAACATCAATGCGAGAGAGAGACATTGACTGGCTGGCTCCTGCATGACCCCAACCAGGGTTGGGGACAAACCACAACCAATGTACATGCCCTTAACCAGAATTGAACCAGCAACTCATAGGTCTGTTGGCTGACGCTCTAACCACTGAGCAAAACTGGCCAGGGCAACCAACACATTTCTTAACAGAGCAGGTAGTCTTTACACTCAGAGGTGCCCCTTTCTCAAGCTCTCATTCATCTTCAGCCAGACTTCCACCCCACTTCCCCACTAAAACTGCTCTCAACGTTCATCATCAACCAAACTGCAAAATCCAGTGGCCTCTTTACAATCTGTATCCTCCTTAATAAAAGCTGTCAGTCATCTTTCACTTACTACGGGCCAGGCATAGTGCTGGGGGCTTTGCATCCATTGGCCTATTCAACTGTTATACAACTTTCTAAAGTCAGTTCATATTGTCGTTTTTTTTTTTTAATATATTGAAACCAAAGCTTTACATCACACAGTTGAAGTGGTAGAAGCTTGAATTGAACCCAGTATGTCTTTTCTAACTCTGTGCTTCCAGAGGGGTTTCTTTCCAAAGTTATAGGAGTTACCCAAAAAGAAAATGAAAACTCACTATTGCATGTTTAAGTCAGGAGAGAAAAATTTACAACATGGGTAAAAAACTGTAACTATATTTTTGTCTCTGTGTTACAAAGGTGATCTAAAATGTGCAGATGGATTCAGCATAAGTGATTACCAGCTGGAACCAAAGCATCTCGGCTGTTACAAGTGACGTCCACAGGCCGGATCGCGCCGGGGAAGAGCTGAGCCCGCCAGCTAAGTGCAGGAGCTGCAATCAGACGTGTGTTGGAATTTCAGGTCCAGCAATTCCTAAGGTAAGCTCCAGAGATCAAATAGGGCCTGGCACAGCATGGGTACACCAACAGTATTTGTGAAGGAGCAACTCTCTGACTTCCAGCATGTTGCTGGAACTTTCTAAACCTCAGTCTCCTCATGTGAGAAATAGGTGAATAACATTACTTAATCCATAGGTTTGTTATGAGGATTGAGCGAGACAATGCATGTAATGTGTCTGGTCCATTGCCCGGTACACTCGACAGGTTGCAGCTGTCGTAAGTACTCCTGTAGCCTGTCTCTCCACTCAGCAAGGACAGACACCTCAGTGGCACTTAAGCTGCTATAACAAGAGAAACAAGATGGTGACTTGAAGAACACGCAAGTTCCTTTATTTTGCCCCCAAAGTTTCTGTAACTAAAATAAGAAAGACGGAAACATTCCAAAGATCAGACCATTGAAGGGTTTGTAAGAGAGAGAAAGAGTTGGAAAAGGGCCATGTCTCACCAGGAGTCACCCCCAGTGCTCGTGGTCCTCTATTCCTACTGCTCCCTGCAAGCTATCAGGAGTGGGGATTGACCGATTGCTGGGCTCTTTTCATCTTTAGTATCAAGAGGGAATACACAAAACTGTGAACTCCCTATACCAATTCGTAACAGAGCCACTGTGGTCGGGTACACATACTCCCAGAGAGTGAGCCCCCCACATCAGCCCCAGTCCTGGAGATTATTCCTTCCCTGATACAATAATTAGGTCAAGGTACACAGGACCAATCCCATGAAGAACACTTGAATGAGGTGACTTTTAGAAGCACCTAAGGATGGGGGCTGGTTGCCAGGGGAACCAACCATGCAGCTAGAGAGTTGGAACTTTCAGTCCACCCCTGACCTCCAGGCAGGGGAGAGGAGCTACAGTTGAATCAAGCCGAAGGCTGTCTGGTCAATCACGCTCATGTGGTGAAGCCTCCACAGAAACCCGAGAGGACTGGGCGCAGCAGGTGTCCAGGCTGGGAACACTGGAGGCCCGGGAGAGTGGCACACCTGCAGAGACACGGAGCTCTCTGCCCTTTCCCCCGGCCTGGCCCAGTGAGTCGCAGGTTTGATTCCAGTCAAGGGCACGTACCTCTGTTTCAGTTCATCCCCAGCCCTGGTCGGGGTCATGTGGGAGGCAACCAGTGGATGTGTCTCTCTCACACCAATGTTTCTCTCTCTCTCTCTCTCCCCCTCATATTCTATCTGAAGATAAATGAAAAAATATCCTCGGGTGAGGATTTAAAAAAAAAATGAAACCTCCAATCTACAGCCGGTTGGTCAGAAGCACAAATAAAAGCCTGGGCTTGCAGCTGGCATCTGCAGTGTGTGTAGGGGCAGGCAGGGCAGTCTTGCAGGACTGAGCCCTCACCCTGTGGAACCTGACCCTATCTCCAGGTAGAGAGTGTCAGAATTGAGTTGAAGTCTTGGGCACTTGGCGGGTGTCTGAGAATTGTTTGTTGTTGGGTGGAAACAACACACACACACACACACACACACACACACACACACAGGAACTGGGTCTCAGAACACCCGTTAAGTGCCCACTCCTTGATCTTGCTGATTGGTCCCTCTGTCCTCATGTTTACACTCTCTCAGCAGCTCTGTTTCTGTTGCCTGAAGCTATACTGTAGCCTTTACTAACAGGCTCATCATGGAGCAATGTTAGGTTCTCTCTACCCCAGGAACTTGGGGCTTTTGACTAAGAGACACAACACTGAGGCATCTTAATGGCAGCTTGCCAGCAGGAGTATTCACACCTGCCCTGGTGCTGGCACCTCCTGAAACGGGAGTGTTCAGACTTCCTGGATCTCATGAGATCTTTCAGGACCTTCCACTAATTTTCATCATTTTGCTTAAGCTAGCTCAAGTTGGTTTTTGAAGTGAGAGCAAAACAGTTTAGCACACAACATTATCCAGTGTAAGCAATAAGAGGTGGATTTACATCAAGGACTCCAAAGTGTCTTGTGAAATCCAAGGTCAAGAATGTGCCCAGCCTTGAGAAGGAGTCTAGAAACAAGAAATGGGAACTGTCAAGAATTCAGGAATATATCTCCCTCTCTCCTCTGTTTTTTGTTTTTGTTTTTTAAACCCTCACCTGGGGATATTTTTCCATTTATCTTCAGATCAAGTGGGAGGGAGGGAGGGAGGGAGGGAGAGAGAGAGAGAGAGAGAGAGAGGGAGAAACATCCATGTGAGAGAGACACATCGACTGGTTGCCTCCCACACGACCTTGACCAGGGTTGGACCACAATCCAGGTACACGCCCTTGACCGGAATTGAACCCATGACTTTTTGGTCTGAGGGCGACACTCTAACCACTGAGCCACACCAGCCAGGGCTCCTCTCTGTTTTCTGTTTGTCTGCCTTGTTTTTGTTTTTATTTCCTTTGCTCTTGCTGCAGCCTGGCTCTCCCCAACTCTCAATCCATATGAAAGAAGATGGCCACATCGTGTCACCCAGTTTTTACATCTCCTCCATCCAAAAGCAGATCCCAGAATGAGAGTGAAACCTCTTAGTTGAAATTGCAACTTCCCTGATTAGCCCAGTTTGGACGAGGTGTCTGTCGTGGTCCAGTCAGAGGAGATGAGGTCATGCAGTACAAACATAGACATAGGGAACGCACCTCATCGATGAGGATGAAGTTTAAAAGGGTCATTGTAAACTAGGCCGACACCCTAACTGTTGACCAAAGGGAACTCAAGTTCAACATGGCCCAGTATGCCCTAGATCCAGCTTACACCCACCTCCTCCCTCCTACCAGAGCAGGCCAAACCGGCTTATCTGTCTTCCTACACTAGCCTCTGCTTTGGCAAAGACTTGTGAAACCACCTTATCTGCCTGAGTCATGCCCACTTTCCCGTCATGTCTAACATAATGGAAGATACCCTAGTAATTGCCTACTGTACCCTGTAACATTCAGAAATAGTTGGAGGCCTACTGGTGTGCCTAATACTGGGCAAGGGGTTTCATAGATTTATCTCCTGTGACCTTCTCAATAACCCTAAAATGGGTATTGCTAACCCTTTTTTATGGAAGAGAATATATGTTTCGAAGGTCTAGTTCCCAAGTTCAATAACTATTAATGACAGGGAGGGATTCAAAGCCAAGCCTGTCTGAACTCAAAGCTCATATGCTCTTTCCACGGCCAAGGTCAATGCCTGTACAGGACGGAGGGCTGGAAGGAGTATAGTCGTGTGCCGTGGGAGGGGTGCTGGGTGGAACTGAGTTCAGGCTGAGGGCTCAGACACTGTGGGATTCTGCTCAGCTTCTAAGCTCTGATGCTGTGTCCAGTGCCCTAACTCAGCACACCGCCTCTTCCACTCAACCTGCCCCAGGGAGATAGGGTTAACAAGGAGCAGAGTCACAGGGTGGTAACAACAGAGCTGGAGATTCTGAACGTGACTGATCTGCTGAGTCGCAAAGCATTTTATGAGCATGGCCTGTTCAGGAAGATTTAACATAAACTGAATGGGGTAGACGCCAATAATAATAATAACTTATATTTATTGAGTGCTTCCTGTTCCTGGCTGTGTGCTCGGAACTTCGTGTGTGTGCATGAAATCACTTACACCTCAAAACAAAACAAGTGTGCATCAGAGGAGACTAAGGCTTAGAAAGTCATTTCCAAAGGTCACACAGGTAAGCATTTTTACTCTAGCCATTGGTCTCCAAAGAGCCCAAACTTTTACAAACTTCAGGACATACCTAGAGAAGTTTAAGGAAAGAAAGGAAGGATGAGGGTGGGGAGCCGCTCTCCCAGGGGAGGGAGCCCATGGGATGGCAGGCGGCTCTGGCTGTGAGGTCGTGGGAAGCACCCTGAAGAGGTGTCAGCTCCCACCTCCTCACCAGTCAGGTGAGGTTATCTTCACATCAAGTTCCAGGCAGGGCAGCTGCTGCGCTGGGTTTGTCTGAGTGGGAGTGCTGGGGTGTGAGCCCCTGGGGGACACACCAAGACTTTCTGAGGGATCACTGGGCATTAAATCCTATATAATGGACCTCCCTGCCATTCTAGATCCCAGTCTTAGTCACTGGGGGCTGCTATAACTGGATACCATAAACTGGGTGGCATGTAAACAATAAAAATGTATTTCTCACAGTTCTGGAGTCTGAGAAGTCCAAGATCAAGGTGCCAACAGACTCAGTGGCTGATGAGAGCCAGCTTCCTGGTTCGTGGCCTGTGTCTTCTCGCGTGACCTCACATGAAAAACGGTAAGAGAGCTCACTGGGGCCTCCTTTCTAAGGGCACTGATCCCACTACCTAATCACCTCCCAGAGGCCCCACCTCAAGTATCATCTCACTGGTGGTTAGGATCTCAACATACGGATTCTGGGGGGACACAAACATCGTCTGGAACAATTCTCCACTTCAACACGAACTCTCCCCTAAGTCGATGTGATTGTGAACTTTCCTGTTGGCCTAGGCATCTCCTTTCAGATAGCCCTTTCCCACTAGACCACGATCTGGGATGGGGGAGGAGCACCGCCAAGGCCCTAAACAAAGGGGCACTGGGGACACTGGGTAGGTAGCGAGAAAGCCAATGTGGCCAATGACAGGATAACACATTTTTTTGGAAAATCGAATAGCTTCCAGTCCTTTGCTTTTGCTTTTATTGTTTTTCTTCCTCACCTAAGGATACTTTTCTACTTATTATCAGATAGAGTGGGAGGGAGGGAGAGAGAGAAAGAGAGAAACATCAATGTGATAGAGCCACATCGACTGGTTGCCTCCTGCACGACCCAACCAGGGCCAGGGATGAATGGCAACAAAGGTATGTGCCCTTGACCGGAATCGAACCCACAACTGATTGGTCTACGGGCTGACGCTCTAACCACTGAGCCAAACAAGCCAGAGCCCATTCCTTTGTTTTTAACTCAATTGGAGAAGGACATAACCAAGTTGCTAACTAATACCTTATTAAGTCATAAATTAGTTTTGACATGTAAGTCAGAAGAAATTCTGCAAATTCAGTGACATAGCTTTAACATTCCATCCAGTCTCCTCTGTTTATGTAAACGACATTTCTCAGTACTTCAACATGTGAATGTCTCTTCCTTGCAGTGAATATTACTGGCCCACAGTTATATGGAAAAAATAGTCCTATCCACCTCATTAAGAGATGTATTTCCAGTAAAATTACTTTTGAATTGGAACAACTCCCAAAATTTGTGATATGCTTATGTTGTTTTGATCACAGAAAATTAAAACAGTTTAAATTTCTATTTATGTACCTGATTTTCATGCATAGAAATATGAAAGTTGCTTTAAAACACTTTCAAGCCCTGGACGGTTTGGCTCAGCGGTTAGAGTGTCGGCCTGCGGTCCAGAGAGACCTGGGTTCACATCGATGTTTTTCTCTCTCTCACTCCCTCCCTCCCACTCTATCTGAACAAAAAATGGAAAAATGTCCTCGGGTGAGGATAAAAGAAGAAAAAAAAAAATACTTTCAAGTATAAAAACCTAGTATATTGGGATAAAATTCTGAGGGGGATGTGGAATGGAAATGAACTCAAGAGAAAAAGAATGTATATAGACTTCTGTCTTATTCTGGTTTGTGTGTGTTAAAATGGAACATGATGGGTATCGAACTGCAATGGTATATAGATCCCAATGGATTTTATATAAAAGAGTAATGTAATAGTTTTATTTTGAAATGTCAATACTTAAAATGCTCTATGTAACTATGTTAATTAATGATGAAAGTTTTAGATGTCAACTTAAGAATGTGGAAAAAGTTTAGTTTTTTTCCAAGGCTAAGTGACCAATCAGATTGGAAGACAACAGGACTGAGCTACGACACAGGGCAGTAGATTTATTTATTTAATTCTCATCCGAGGATATTTTTTTTCTATTTATCTTCAGATAGAGTGGGAAGGAAGGAGGGAGAGAAAGGGAGAAAGAGAGAAACATCAATGTGAAAAAGATTGCTGGTTGCCTCCTACACGACCCGACCAGGACCAGGGATAAACCACAACCAAGGTACATGTCCTTGACTGGAATTGAACCTACGACACTCTAACCACTGAGCCAAACCGGCCTGGGCGGGCAGTAGATTTAAAAGGGTGAGTGTTGACTGGCCAGTGTGACTCAGTGGTTGAGCATCAACCCATGCACCAAGAGGTCACTGGTTCGATTCCCAGTCAGGGCACATGCCCAGGTTGTGGGCCCGATCCCCATTGGGGAGCATGCAGGAGGCGGTCAATCAGTGTTCTCTCTCATTGATGTTTCTATCTCTCTCTCCCTCTCCCTTCCTCTCTCTCCAAAATCAGTAAAGAAAAAACATTTTTTTAAATAAATAAAAGGGTGAGTGTTGTGGGAGGTGTCCCACCCAGAAAGAGCCTGGAGACCTGGCCTCACACTGAGTCCTGTGCCCCACCCCACCCCATCAGGTGACATACTGTGAAGCAAATGGTTTTCCCAAAGCCCATTTCAGTGCCCTCTCTTGGCACCTCTCCTCCTAGCAGAGTCACCAAGCACCTTCTAAGTCAACCACTCTGAAACTCACAATCACCAGAGTCAGACCCATTGGAGGGTCTGGTTCACAATTCAATTTCTTTTTTATTTTTTTTCCTTTATTAATTTTTAGAAAGAGAGGGAGGGAGAGGGAGAGAGAGATAGAAACATAGATGAGAGAGAACACTGATTGGCTGCCTTCTGCATGCCCCCCACTGGGGATTGGACCCACAACCTGGGCATGTGCCCTGACCGGGAATCAAACTGGCGACCTCTTGGTGCGTGGGTCAATGCTCAACCACTGAGCCACACCGGCTGGGCCACAATGCGATTTCAATGGGCCCTCCTCAGGTCCAGGGAATCACATTCTCTGAGGGCCGAAAAAGAAACATTCCAAACCCAAGCTGGGTGGAACTCTGTGGCTGGTATGAAGAGCTGTTTCTTCCCAGAACCTTGCATTCCTGATAAGACTGCCTTCACGGGCTTTCTGGGAACCTCGCCCAGCCTACCAGTGACCTTTCACCAGTCCTCGGAGATTTCTGATAATCTTTAACCAGACATTCTTCTTTCTTCTTTTGTCTCCTGTCCAACAATGATTACCTAAACCAGCTCTGTCCAATAGAAATATAATGCAAGCCACACTTACTTTAAATTTTCTTGTGGCCATACTTTTTTAAAGGTAAAATGACACAGGCGAAATTAATGTCAGTAATATATTTTATTTAACTCAATGTATCCGAAATACTATCACTTCATTATGCAAACAATGCCAGACTCATGGCTGCGACGTTCCACGTGTCACGGCTTCGGACTGCGGTGTGCCACACGGCAGCACAGCTCCGTCAGAAAGGCCACACAGGTGCTCAGCAGCCACGTGTGGCCATGGCTGAGGCACTGGATAGCAGACGTTTATTTTATTTATTGATTCACTTTTTAATTTTATTTTTCCACCACCATTTATCCCCTTCATGCCCTCTTCCACCTCCACCCAGCCCCCTGCACCCCACAATCACCACACTGTTGTCTATCACCATGAGTTCCCTCTCTTTTTTTCTTTTTTGCTCCATTCCCCCTTCCACCCCCCATCCCCCACCCCCCACACACACATAGCTGTCTGCCTGTTTCTGTCTATGAGTCAGGACAACAGACATTTAAACACTCTTATTTTTTCCTTTTAAAATGTTTCTGCCAAGAAAGAAGTCTTTGAATGAGGTGTGTTTTTTTTCTCTTCTTTCAAGAAAGCCTCCTCCCTTGTAACCAATTTGAAACAAAATTTTTTCAGACACATCGTGATCAATGTGTCTGAAAATTGCTTTACTGAGTTGGGGATGAGGTGTCAGAAATCTGCGTTTTAACAATGGTTAAGGTCATTCTTGGGTACACTTCAGCTTTTGGATCATTTCTCTAAGTAGTCCACATCTAATTTTTTTTTTTTTTTTTTGGCACGTGCCCCTAGCGGGAACCGAACCTGGGACTCTCTGGCCCGCAGGCCAACTCTCCAACCGCTGAGCCAAACTGGCCAGGGCAGTAGTCTACATCTAATTCCAACTAGCAAGTGGCCAGTTCTTCCCCAGCTGTCTCTACAGAAGCCCATTAGCCAAACTCTTTCACACCGCAGAGGCCAGCAACTGTGGCCCCTGAACCCACTGCTTCTCCTGGGGTACTGCCCTCAACGAGGGGTAGTCAGCACACTCCCGACTCAGTCCTGCTACCTGCCCCGAACGTAGAGGCGTGAGCAGGAGCTTGTATAGAGAAAGGCGCAGTCAGTGTGGCTGATTCCCAGGTAGCCTGGCTCCAGAACCAGGTTCCACCACTGAAATGCTGCAGGATTTGGACACGTTACTTGACCTCAGGTCTTCATCTACAAATAAGGGGATAATGACGTTCCCTTCATAGAGTTGGACCCAGCAGATGAAGCCCACAGAACCACGGGCAGCTCAACCAAAGGAAGTCAGGAGGGCTCTTCCCAGGGTTGGGGACTTCTGCTGAATGATTCGGGGAAGGGATGAAAGGAAGGGGGGAAGCTCTGGACTGAGTGGGGACAGTCTGGCTGTTGTGTTTCTCAGGAATCTTTGTTCACGAGGTAGGAAGCATGAGCCTGTCGCAGGTGAGAAAGTAATGACTGGAAGGGAGAGCGGTGTGTGATCGTGGCCGCAGCCTCTCACACACGTTGTTTTAGGGTCTGTTACAAACTTCATCTGACCACCACCAGGGCCAGGAGGTGAACTCAGAGCCTGTTTCCTTCCTACGAAATGAGGCTAAAGGTGGAATGTTGCATCCCAAACCTTTATCCCAAACCCTGCACCTTGGCTGATGACTGAACATGCTCTGTTACAGTGGCCTGCATGGCTCAGGATCTCAGGCAAAAACAGGAGGCCCCTGCTCATGGAAAAGACTTCAAGCAGCAGTTCTCACAGTCTGTCATTTCAGAAGACAGGGCTTCTCCGCCCTGTCACGGATGTTAAATCACCCAGTCATTTTGCGGTTCATAGCCTAACGAGTGTTAAGTGAGATAATATATGCAAATGCCTGGTGCATAACAAGGTCCCAGTAAACAGCAGCTGCTCTTCTTAGTGAGTATTCGCGTTAGTACTACTCCTCTAGGTTTCCTGTACACCCTTCCTTCCTTCCCGCTGCTCCACAGCCTGCCGCTTCAAGTTGGACAGTGTGTGATTTAAACCTTAGCCCTCGCCAGGCTGCTCCTTAAAGAAGTATCACAGGCTCCTGGTCCAAGAGTCCCAGTGTCTCCACATTGCAGACTGAGGTTCTTTTTACCCAGGACCCTGCTTTCCTCACTGAGGGACTCTGGTGCTGCTGCATTAGGGCTTCACACACACACACACACACACACACACGCACACACGCACACACGCACACAAACACAAATGCAGTACACACAAACACACACATGTACACACACAAATGCACACACACACACATGCATACAGGCACACACATGTACACACATACACAAACGCAAACACACACACATATGCACACGCATACATAGACATACAATGTACCCATACACACACACACATACAAACATACACATATGCGTGCATATATGCACATATACACACAAACACACAATGCCCAAAGGCTCCCCGCGGGCTGTTGGGTGTTCTTTCCTTTGTTGAACACCGGCACCTGCACACCTTCCTCCCTCCCTTTTACACCTGAGGAAGCAGTGTGTTTGTGGGCCCTCCCTTGGAACCTGTTTCCATCAGACTGGTTTTTCCAGCTCCACCTTCCTTCTCTGACTGAAGCAGTAGGGGTACTGCAAGGATACTGGGCTTATCAAATACAAATGTATTTATTTTTAGTGCTTTCATACAAATTGTTTATTTTTTTTTTTTGGCGTCTCATAGGAGGAACATAAACAAAGAGACAAGCACAAAGAATCCAAATATCACCATAAGCAGCCCCACATGCGTCCCTAACATGTTGGCATCTTTCTAGGCCTTCTTCCTGTGAACATGTTCTTTTTTTTTTTTTTGCCTTTTAGTTTTGGTTGTTTTTTTTTTTACATTGATTTTAAAGAGAGAGGAACAAAGAAGGAGAGAGAGGTAGAAACATTGATGAGAGAGAACATCGACTGGTCGCCTCCTGCATGCCCCCACAGTGGATGGGGCCCACAACCTGGCACATGTCCTGACCGGGAATTGAACCGGTGACCTCTTGGTGCACATGGGTCGACGCTCAGGCACAGAGCCACACCGGCCGGGCTGCACATGTTCTTTTGTCAAAAATCAAACTTAGGATCGCCCTGTTGGCAGTGTTGTAACTTGTTTTCCCACTTAGCAAGATATACCCCAAACATCTTAGTCAAATAGCCCTGGCTGGTTTAGCTCAGCAGTTAGAGCGTCGACCTGCGGTCCAGAGAGACCCGGGTTCGGTTCCCTCTAAGGGCGCGTACCTCGGTTGCAGTTTGTCCCCGGCCCTGGTTGGTCATGCGGGTGGCAGCCACTTAATGTGTTCCTTTCACATCAATATTTCTCTCCCTCTCTCTTCCTCTCTCTCCCTCCCAGTCTATCTGTACAAAAAATGGAAAAATGTCCTCAGGTAAGGATGAAAAAAAAAAAAACAACAACAAAAAACATCTTAGTCAAATAGATTTTGACGCCGAGACTTGAAGTGAGTGCTTACCAGGCATGAATTCAATTTGCAGTGTTACTGAAGGCCCGGCAGCCTTTTCTCTTTGCGATGCTTCTTCAACACCAGAAACACGACCCGAGGGGTGACTGGTGGGCTGTGAACGTTTTGAAGCGTGTGACAGACAGCTGTACATTTCCCTGACCAGGACAGGAGGCGGCCTTGCCCCGCCCTCTGAACAGGACAACTCTCAGCAGGCAGTTGGGATGTAGCTGCAGTGACCCTGGGTTTGTGCCCAGAGCTGCACGTTGATCGAAGTGGGATCGGGCTGCACTGACATCATTCCTTACAAACTGCCTTTGACCGTAAACCTGGAACATTCTTTCCTGTCCATCAATACAATTTCAACCCCTCGTTTGAAAAAGCACAAAACTTGGTAGAATATTGATAACTGTTGAAGCACAGAAATAGCTACATGGAGGTTTGTGAACTCTTTTCTTAATTTTGTGCCTGTTTGAAACTTCCCCTGGTCAGACTTTTCAAAATAGGTTCTAGCTTGCTCTTATATTCCCACTTCGGTTTTCTGCACCCACCGCCCAGGGTGGGAGATGAACAGATACTCAGGTTCAGTGAGATGAGTGGCCAGCGTGGAGCAGAAAACCGATCGGAAATTCAGGACAGGCGGCCCTCACTCCAGCAAAGCTACCGCAAGGTGAGCAGCGGAGGTGGGTGTGGATGGGGACCCGGCTGCTCTGCATGCCTGCGTCCCTTCTGGGGGAGCCTCAGTTGCTTCTTTCTTCCTGCCTCTGGCTCAGGCTTAGGGTGCCAGCACCTGTCATTACACCTGGGCCTCTGGGAGGGGCCGCCCTTTGCACCCCCTGGAGGCAGGCACATGGAGCGCCTGGGGGATGCTTAGCACAGGGCTGAGGTGGAAAAGATTCCCCAGGATTTCCACTTGCTCCTGCCAAGGCACCTCTTGCCCACCCCACCCTCACCTATGAGTGTGTGGTTGCAGAAAAACCCAGAGATGCACCGAGGGGTGCTTGCAGAAGAGACTTGGGGCTGGAGAAGGCCCTGGCAGTGGGGTAAGGACACGTGCAACCTGTGCCTGCTGTGCTCCCACTGGGCCAGCTGGAGCGGGACAGGCAGCGCAGGCGAGGCCCAAAGCAAGGACTGGTCATTTACACAGAGGACAAAAACGTCTGCCTGCAGGTTTGTTGTCGTTGTTGTTTTTCTCTTTCTTTCCTTTGCTTGCACAGTATTTAAAAACCAAAACAATAAACTTCTAATATTTGGTATAAAACCAAAGTTATCACAGCTAACTATTAAAACCTAAACATTTGTATTTGGGGACTTGTTTAAAAGCATCTGGAGGTCTGCCTTCAGACCTGTTGGCTGAGGGGCCAACCAAGTCACTGCCCTCCCCAACACCCCATTGGCCTGGCTGTGGGGGATCTGAACTCAGTACCCTTGGTTATAGACTCACAGAGTGTCAGGAGATCATTTAGCCCAGAGAGTTTCAAACTGTGGGTCTCAACCCATTAGTGGCTCTTGAAATCACTTTAATTTTAATGAACCACACTAGAAGAGAGGAAAAGAGAAAGATGAGAATGTCACAGAGACGAGAGGAGAGTCTAGGTTGCCAGAGGACTTTGAAAGCAGTGTAGGAGTATGTCCTACAGCGAAGGGCAGTCAAAAACAAACCAAAAAAAGAAGGCTTGAAAATTGCTAAAGTTGCCTAATCCTCTCATTTTACAAATAAAGAAATTAAGGACCAGAGAAGATAAGTGACTGACCCAAAGTCACACAGTAATCTAGTAAGAGAGCAAGAAGGAGAAGGTGCTGACCCTGACCCCAGGCCACCCACCCTGCCTAAGGGTTGGGACACTGAACACAACTGTGGTCAAATCAGGCTCAAGTTAGTATGCTTGAATTACTAGAAAGGAAATACCCACTGAAGAGATGAAAGAATAGTACAAAGGACATCTGTGTTCCTTCTACTTAGAGCCAACAATTGTTAACAATTTGCCACGTTAGTTTTATTAATTGATTGATTGAGTGTGTGTGTGTGTGTGTGTGTGTGCATGTGTGTGTGTGTATTTGGCTAAACCATTTGAAAGTAAGTTGCATAATCATGACATTCAGCCCCAGACACTTCAGCATGTGTCTCCCAAAGGCAAAGACATTCTCCGATGTAACATGCCTTTGTCACACCCAAGAAAGCGGACACTTTCTTGAATATTCATTCCGTAATAGCTTCCCATATTCGGGCAGCATTCAAATTTCCAAAATTGTCCAAAAGAATGCCTTCCAGAATTGTGTTCCCCCAGTCCCGGAACCGATCAAAAATCACACTTTGCATTTGCTTGTTCCTGTCTGTTCAGGAACCACCTGTCTGCTGCTCCTTAAAGACAGAGCAGGGTCCAAGGGCTTCCAGCTGCCCCCCCACACACACACACACACCACAGTTTACCTTCCTTGTTTCAGCTGCTGTGAATTTCTAAAATATTAGACATATTTTTTAAATGAATGCCAAAATCACTTAAACAAACAGAATCTGGGAGTATTCTACATTCTCTCTCTGGGGATCTGGATCTCAAATTAAGTTCTGCTGCTATCTAGCAATGTGAACTTGGCAAGTCCTTGGTGACATCAGGAAATATTAGATGAATGAATGAACGAATGAATGAAAAAACAAACAAACACGAATCAATTTGTTTCACTGCTCTGGATTTATCATCTCTGTAAGAAAAAAAAAGATTCAGAGGATCTAGTCCAGATCTCACAGCTCTTATTATAACGTCCTGGGCCTGGAATACGCAAACACACATACAGAAATTATTGGATGTGGACCTCTCTTCTTTCATTGAAAAATCCCTCATTCCTTATACTTCTCACTGACATCTTTTCTTCTAGCAGAAATGAGCTCCCAACTGTATGCTTAGTGCGCCACCTTGTGGACACGTTGCATGGACGCAGTTTCTCTCACTGGAAATGACAAGGTCACACATGTCTGAAAGGTCTTCAAATGTTCTAAAACAGGTGTTGTTCCTCACTACCAAACCCATTTTCAGTGCCTGACCACCACTCTATAAACCTAAACCAGGGCTTTTTATTTTAATTGGAAAGAGGACCGTGTCCCTGAGCAACAAATTATCCAAATGGAACAAAGAACAGAACTTAGCATTAAATAAATAAACGCATTGCAAAATCAGGGTGTGTGTGTCCATGACCCAGTGGGAGAGTGTCTGGGCATAGGGCAAGCAACAGCTGGCAAAACTTCAGGGAGAACTAGGTACTCAACAATTGCAGTTTAAAATATTACCACACTCCCCTGTGGTCAAACACAAGTACCGTGGTACCTCAGTTCTCGAACTCAATTAGCTCCAGAGGTCTGTACACGAAGTGTTTTGCTCAAAAACAAAATCACTTTTTCCCCATTAGAAATAATGTAAATTGAATTACCCACTCCAGACCCCCAAATGATTCCCTGTAGTAACCTTTCTCAGTTGCCTGAACATCTCCCATCTCGAACAATTCGGTTGTGGAACAGAACTTCGGTCCACAGAACTTCGGTCCCCCACCCGACAACCCTTCCGTGCTGTCCCGCACGAGCAGTCAGGCGTCTCTCAGGTGACACACACAGGAGAGAATGCGCAGTGAGGGTCAGTTCACTTCTAAACCTCGCGTTGTTAACACCGTACGAAATTGCGCTGTGAATATTTCTGTGGTTTTTAGCTTTTGTTGCTGCTGCTTATTAAACACATACAGTACGTCACCATGGGTCCTGAGAAGGTTAGTGATAGCAGCAAAGTAAAAAGTCATGGGAACAACAATAGAGCTTAATAAAGAAATAATCGTGTCCTGGCCTGTTTGGCTCAGCGGTTAGAGTGTTGGCCTGTGCACCAATGAGTCTTGGGTTCGAGTTTGGTCAAGGACATGTACCTCGGTTGAGGTCCATCCCAGGCCCTCGTCGGGTCATGCGGGAGGCAACCAATCCATGTGTCTCTCTCACATAAATGTTTCTCTCCCCCTCTCCCCCCACTTCAAAAAAGAGAAAGAATCGCAAAGTATGACAGAGGTGTTCGGGTATCGATCTGGCTACCAAGTATGGCATGGCGAAATCAGTGATAAGCACAATTTTAAAACACAAAGAGGCCACCGAGAGTGCTGACCTTGCTCAAGGTGTGAAAGGCTCACGAAACAACAAGCACAGGCAACTGAGAAAGGCTGAAACGGAATCACTTAGGGGTCTGGAACAGGTTAACCCAATTTGTATTCTTTCTAATGGGGGGAATGATTCAGTTTTTGAACAAATCGCTTATTGATCAGCCTTCCAGAACAAATTAAGTTTGAAAGCCAAGATTCCACTGCAGAATACAGTGAGCCATAAAGAAAACCTCTGTGAGCTCCAAAGGATCCTTACATTCAGACTATATTCTTTGATACCAAAGCATAAAATTATAAATTTATAACAAAAGTAGATTTTTAATAACAGTTTAGATAGGCAGAGGTCTTTGAAATATTTGAGAGGATAGAAATAACTTCAGAATTTTTTTTTTTTTTTATCCTCACCCGAGGACATTTTCCCATTCTTTTGTTCAGGTAGAGTGGGAGGGAGAGAGAGGAACAGAGAGAGAGAGAGAAACATCGACGTGAAAGGGACACATTGAGCGGCCGCCACCCGCACGACCGACCAGGGCCGGGGACAAACTGCAACCGAGGTACGCGCCCCCAGCGCGAACCGAACCCGGGTCTCTCAGGACCGCAGGTCGACGCTCTAACCACTGAGCAAAACCGGCCAGGGCTAACTTCAGAATTTTTAGAAAAAGTTTGGTGGGAATGGGAATACAGCCGGGCTGGTTTGGCTCAGCGGTTAGAGCGCTGGCCTAGACCAAAGAATTGGGGGGTCAATTCCCGGCCAAGTGTACATACCTTGGTTTCAGGTTCCATCATGGCCACTGTTGGGGTCATGCGGGAGGCAACCAATTTATGTGTCTCTCTCACATCGATGTTTCTCTCTCTCTTTCCCTCTCACTCTAAAAATAAATAAATAAATAAATAAATGGGAAAATATCCTTAAGTGAGGATTTAAAAAAAAAAAAAAAAAAACAAGAATGGGAATACAGCCCAGCTAGTGTGGCTCAGTGGTTGAGTGTTGACCCATGCACCAAGAGGTCGCTAGTTCAATTCCTGATCAGGGTACATGCCCAGGTTGTGGGCCCCATCCCCAGTGGAGGGCGTGCAGGAGGCGGCCAATCAATGCTCTCTCTCATCGATGTTTCTATCTCTCTCTCCTTCTCACTCTCCCTCTAAAATCAATAAAGAAAAAAATATTAAGAGAAAAAAAATAAATTAAAAAAGAATTGGAATACAATCTTATGGATCCCCAACTTGCTAAGGGAAAATAGAATAACAGAAAAGACTAATGAACTTTATCTAAATTAGAAACTTCTGCTCTTTGACAGGGAGCACAAATATTTGCAAAGTACATATCTGATAAAGGACTTGTATCTAGAGCAGAACAGAAGTAAACTCTTAAAACTTAGTAAGAAAACAAATAACCCAATTTTTTTTAATGCACAAAA